CCACCGGCATCGCCCTCCTCGTCGGAGTTGGGGGTGAACGCGAGCCGAGGGGCCGAGCCCTCGAAGCTGTGGACGATATGGTCGGCGGCATCCCGGACCTGCGCGCGCGCGCTGTCCTCGGTCCCAGGAGGGAACTCATCCAGCGCCATCCATGGGGAGAAGTCGGGGTCCCTGGCTTGGTAACTCGCCAGTACGAGCTCCACCGCTCCTTGGGCGAGGTCCCTCGAGGATGACTTAATTGTCTTCTCGAGCTCCTCGGGGAGCCGTTGGAGAGCCCCGGCCATCTTCGAGAGGCGCTGGGCGAGGCCTCCCTGGTTGGCGGCGTACTTTACGGTCCGCCCTCTCCAGAGGCCCACCTGCCGACCGGCGCGATCTAGGCGGGAGACGGCGTCCCAAAGCATGCCGGGCCCTACCTCGCCTGCCAAGCGGAGGGCCTCGACCTCCCCGGCGGACGAGTCTAGCGCGCCCTGCAGATCGGCGATGGTGTGTTCGGCAGCTGCGAGGCGGGCGGCTAAGTCGCTTTCGCCCGCGGCCGCCCCGCCGCTGCGCGTCCTCGCGTCCAGCTCCTTTGCCCGCGCCTCGAGCTCAGCGGCCCGCTGGTCCAGTGCGGCCTTCTCGGCACGGGCACCTTCCAGATTACGGCGCGCCTGCTCCTCCCGCGCTGCCTCGCGGAGGGACAAGCTGTCCGCCAACCGTTGCGCCGCGGCCTCGGCCTCCTCGAGAGCTCGCTCCCGCTCGGTGAGCGCGTCCTCGCGGAGGCGGAGTGCGGACTCCTCTTCGGCGCAGGCAGACTCGTGCGCCGCCAGCGTTGCCTCCCGGATGGCGACGGCGGCCTCGCGGTCCGCCAGGTCCTTCTCCACGACGCAGGCGCGCTCTTCCAGCGCCATGGTGCGCCTCAAGGGTCTCTTCGCGCCGTCGGGACGCCGCTTCGGTCTCCGCCGCCCGCTGTTCTCGGGCAGCGGCAGCGTCAAGCACCCCCTGGGCGGCGTTGAGCTTCTTCCCTAGCTCCGCCTCCCAGCTCCCGTATTGAAGGCGGAGGGTGTCCTGCGCCTCGTTCATCACGGTGGTGGCAATGAGGGCAGCCCCCCGCTCCTCCTCCACTTCCTTGGCGATTTCCGCCAACACCTTCTTACGGGCTTCAAGCTCCGAGACATGCCGGCGGTGTGCCTTGCGGCCCACCTCCACCATGGCCTCCACTGAGCGCCGCCCCTCCTCGACACGCGCCCACGCGGCGTCGAGCTCCGCCCGCTCTGCTTGCAGGGCCTCCACCTGGGCACTAAACCCGTCCAACACCACGGTGTTTGCGGCGGCCAAGGCCTGCAGAAGGGGCTCTGCGCTCAGCGGGGCGATAGAAGGCGTGGGGAAGAGCCGCCTTGGAGAGGATGCCACGCGGCTCGGGCCGCCGATGGAAGTGCCGGACTCGGGGATGTCCCCCGGACCTGGTTGGTCCTGGGCGACGCCCGAGGGAGTGGGCCCAAGCGACGCGCCGGCAGCCTCGTCGCCAGCTGCCCCGGAAGTTGTCGCCTGAGCGTCGCCCGAGGGAGTGGGCCCAAGCGATGCGCCCGCGACCTTGTCGCGAGCTGCCTCGGAAGTCGCCATCGCCTCGTCCTGGCGAAATCCGGCCTCCTCCCGAGCGGCTTCCTCGGCCTGGCGGGCCCGGGCGGCCTCCTTCCGAGCGGTTTCCTCGGCCTGGCGAGCCCGAGCGGCCTCCTGGGCGGCCTCCTCGGCTTCCCGTAGGCGATCCGCGGCCTCTCGCCGGTCAGATTCCCGCCTCCGGGCCTCTGCGGCCACCGGATCCTCGGCCTCAGACTGGCCGGACTTGGAATGGCGGGAGGGACGCGACGGGATCTCGCTAAAACAGAAGAAAAGACAAGAAGACGAACAAAGATGGGTGAGTGAAAACTCGCGTTGAAGAGAATGAATACAGCCACGATGGGTGAGAGACGAACCTGCGAGGGGGTCGGTTGAACGACCACTTTGGAGGAGAAATAAGGTTTCCCCGAGATGGTTCTGTCTCCCCCATCTTGCGGAGCCGTTTCTTCTTGCGTTCCCCCTCGGGCTGCGGCCCCCTCCGGGCGCCTGCTGCTGGCACGTACCGCCCCGCCCCCTCGGGGAGGAGATGGGGGAGGTGTTCCTCCCTGCTTCCTCTTCCCCCGGGCGTCGGCAGGGCGGCTGCTCCCCGGGCCTCCGTCGCGAGACCCAGAAGCACGACCCCCTCCCGGGGTAGATTGATCCCCCCTACGGCTCCCGCCTGCGCCGTCGTGGCCCTTTGGAGCTCGCTCCTCTGAGGCCCCGACCGCCGTCATAATGGTCAGGATGGAGGCGCGGTCCAGATCGCTGCAGAGAGGGAGGATTCCTTGGGGAATGAGGGACGCCTCCATGGAGTTGAGATTCAGCACCCGTTGGACCATTATCTTGAAGTCCTCAGGAGCCCAGTCCCATCTGACTCCCTGGTGGGTCCTCATGTAGTCTTCGGACCCGGTGTACTCCCAGGCGCCCCGAGCGCGCCGCTGGAGCGGCGCAATCCGACGACGGAGGTAGTCGCCGTACACCATGGCCCCTGTGAGCCCCTGGGATCGCAGGCCCGCCAGGCGGTCGAGGACGGCGTCATAGCCATCCCCCAGATCTACCGGCGCCCGCCAACTGGAGGCCTGCGCCGGGGGCTGGCTCGGAAGTCGGAGGCGTGCTTCGTCGGCGAGGGGGGTGTAGAACCAGTCGCTCTTCCAGTCGTCCCACTTCTTGCGGAGGGCGCAGGGGATGTAGCGGTTCAGCACCGGCCCCCGTGGCTGGAAGTAGCAGCCACCAACTACCGATGGCGGCGACACCGACTGCACGGTGAAGAACCACCGGAACAGCCGAAGAGATGGGCGCACCCCAATGAACATCTCGCACAGATGCGCGAAGATGGCCAATGTCATCACCGCGTTGGGGGTGAGGTGCGCCATCTGGAGATCGTAGAACTCCAAAACATCCATGAAGAAAGAAGAAAATGGCGGAACCAGCCCTGCCATTGCAAAGGGGAGAAAGAAGACGAACCGCCCCGGGTAGTCTGGCGCCGGGCGTCCCTCGCCCAGCGTGACTATCTCCCGGCCGGTGGCAGATTCCGGCATGAAGCGGCGCGGCAGCCCAGCCTGCCTCTCGCTCACGATGCGGGAGGGCGGCAGCACGCTACCATCGAGCAGAGCGGAGCCCCGTGCCATGGCGCCGGAGGAAGAGAAGATTGAAAGCGAGCGCGTGTGGCGAAGGTAGGGCACAGGAAAGAAGGAGTTAGGGCGCAAGCGGCGAAGACAAGGGGAATGATGGCGAAAGGAAGGAAACAGATCCTTTCCTCAGTGCCTTTATACTCTTGCCAACGCTGTGCCCGGCTCCTCGATTCTCGCGCCCACTATTTCGCCCCCTCGTTTCTCGCGCCCACGCTTCCACTAATCCCATTCGCCCGCTTGCGGCGCATGAGGTGGATATGCGGTTGTGGCAGTCGAGATAGATCATATCGTGCGCGCGTTAATCACGCTCGCCGACCGAAGCGGCGTTACCATATCTCCAGACGAAACGAATCGCCATGTCCAGATTCATGTGCTACTCGAGTGATGTGGCAGTCTTGAAGAAACCGCTCATTATGGACAGCCGAGTTACCATTGCCGATGTGCGTGATTTGTGACCGTTGGGTTTCTGCCCAATTGTGGAGACCGGTCCCACCTGTCACCAGGCTTTAGGAGTGGCGTCACGCCCGACCGCTTCCCTTAAAGAGGGCGATCGCCCTGGCATAACGCCGGGGGCTACTGTCGGTGACATGGGATCAGGAGTATCATGACTAGAGGTTTGAGGCAGACACAATCGCCCACGTGGCCTGGCACCCTCGGGGGACGTCGGGCCCGAGGGTGATGTGTTCGCCCTCCTCTTAGTCCCCCCGAGGGGGTCGGGCCGCACCCGCCTCAGCCCCGAGGGCCGAGGCGCCCCGACCCCTCGTGGATTTTTGCTCCGCGTGTATGGGTTAGGTGAGCACAGCAGCGCTCACCTAACCACATTTATTGTGGTTTGGCTGAGCGTGTCACGCCGCATGTAACGCAGTGCAGTGCACTCGTTTATCCGGTCTGTGACCAGTCACAGACCGGTCAGATCGCGGGTTAGGTGGCGACAGGCGATCTGACGCACGCCTCGCCCCATCCCGTCAGGACGAGGGCTTCTAGGCGCTTGTCCCCAGCTGGAGCTAGCGTGTTACCTCCCAGAGATGGCACGTTAGTCCTGGTTAGATATATGCCAGGCTTCATCCTAACCATTACAGGCAAGATGTTGTGTGAAGAAGGGCCAACATGTAGATTGCTAAACTGACACGTGGTGGACAAGAATGAGCGATTTGTGACCAGTCTGACACTGGTCATGGCGTCGGCAGACAGCCATAATCCCACGTCGCACCTGCTTCCGGCGGAAGTGGAGGTAGGTATGGGCCGTCCCATCAGAAGGTCATTCGGACGGCAACTATACAAATCTCCGTCCATTTATGAAAAGGTAGGGTAAGTCCCCACAGGAGAGAGGGAGATGGTGCATGTGGTATCCCCTTAAGATTAAAAGGAGGACCTTGCCCACTTAGAGAGGGGCTGGACTTTTCCAGATTCGGAACCCAGAACAAGGGAGAGGCTGGCTCATACTTTGTAGCTCCTTCATACACAGATCCCCCAAAACACAGGAGTAGGGTATTACGCTTCTCAGCGGCCCGAACCTGTATACATCGCCCGTGTCTTATGCTCTTTCGACGGTCGCGAACCTTCCACATACAGAGAGCTTAGAATTTCACCCTGAGTCCCCGGCCGAACCGGCAAAGGGGGGCCTGCGCGGTCTCCCGGTGAGGAGCCCCACGCTCCGTCACATTAGATCAACGACATGGTGGAGGAATGTGCCGGTGGTGAAATTGTTGATACATGACTCTACTTATTAGGATTTAAATATAACGAAAAAACCATTGTGATTTTTCTTGCTACAAAACAACCAAGGAAGTGCAAGACTGAAATATTCCCATGGCACCTGGCCAACTAAACTTTGAAATAAGATTCATAGTAAGTTTATTATTACAATGGCTGCAACCCATAGGTTTGCATTATATAGTAAATGCATACATGCATACTAATTTAATGGATAGAGCTAGCAAACCATAACAGATGGGGCTAGAGGAGAAATCAAGCGTAGCGTGCTTATTCAAATACATGAAAATTGAAACAAGTGAACAGGTTTGGAAATAGTAATCATGCAACTGATCAGTAAAAACGGTAGAGATATGGAACATATAAATGCTGACGATGCCAACTCCAGGACCAAGCCAAGGGATGAGCCATTGATGCAAAGGCCATCATCCTGTTCTGTTGAGCAAGGAAGACCAATCAGTAGCGCTAATGGAAAAGGGTAAATAAAAGGAGCAAGCTGGTGAGCAAACTATTTTTTTTTAAAGGAACAACGGCAGAAGATCTGCCGGAATTTAATTAAGGGGAAAAAAGAAAAAGTTTACAATCCCAGAAATGGGATTTCAAGTCCAAAAACAAAATAGAACAATCAAGGGGGCCTAAAGGCCGATCTTCTAAGGTCTAGATCTTCCATGACAAGATGGATTACCTGATATACTATCTGGCAAATTATACTATCTGGCAAATTATACTATCTGGCAAAAAATTATCACTTAGAAGGAAGGAGCAAGTTAATTACCTGCTGCTCACTAAGGCTCCTGCTTTTCGTTGCTCCACCTCTAGTCCCCCTTAGGCCTTGTTCGGTATGGAAGGGGTCTGAAAGGGTTTAAAGAGGAATAATTCCACACCACAATAGGTGTGAAATAAATCCCCTTCAATCCACCAAAATGTCCCTATCGAGTGTTCGGGTCGTGAGCGTCGGACGGTTGGGATGTGTCTTTGCTACGTTCAAGATTTTTTCTTCCAATTCTGAGGCCACATCTCTTGGAGTTGAAGGTGGATTGCCAATAATATCTACATTGACTCTGCAGAGGGTGCTGGGGAGGTGCTCGAAGACAGAATCGTTCTCACCAACCTCATCCAATACTATGTCAATTCGGAGGTCCTTCAGATTAGGCATGGAATCAGGCATAAACAACACGTTGCAAAGAAACGCAAACTTGAGACATCGGAAACCATGGTTGCTGATGGTGAGCCATGATCCTCGTGTGTCTGAACAAGGAAGGGCAAGATACTCGAGAGCTTTCAGGTCTCCAAGCATTTCGAAATCGTTCTGAGTAACATATGCTTTACTGAGCTCTAATTTCTCAAGCTTGGCAGCAAGGCGAATCCAACTTGGAATGTTTATCATCCGGGGCGTGCTTTCGACGCCGAATCTCTTGAGGTTTTGTAGGGCAAGGAACCACGGATCAAACAAGAAGCGTTCCATAAACACAACAAAATCCAGAGAATGGAGGCTATGCCTGTCCAGTGCATTAAGTGAGGAGGTGAAAATCTTCTTGCAGCTCTTTTTATGCTCGGCTTGGGCCTCATCAGAATCTCTAGCATGGTAAGCCTTCCAATATACAACTAGTACTCTCAGCTTGGTAAGCTCACCTAGCTCCTTCAAAAAGCTTCCTGGTTGACAGAAGAGCGTGAGACCTGTGAGCTCCTCCAATGCTTGCATCTTGCTAACACCTTCTGCTGGGAACTTCACATCTTGACTGACAGAAAGGCGAGCCAACCGCTGAAGTAGAACAATGGATGGTGGTAATTCTTTAACTTCACTACCTCTTATATCTAATGTTTCCAAATGCTGGAGACGTCCAATATTGGCAGGGAGCACAGTCACTCTTCCCCTAATTCTCAGATACTGCAAATGGACTAACTTTTCAATATTAGCAAGATGGTTGTTTGTCAATGATTGGCACCCGTCTAGATCCAGTACTCTTGCAACTTTAAATTCTGATAGAGGATGGAATCCTGTGTAGTCCACGGAACAAATAAGTGATCTAACATGAAGCTTAATCGGCATCATCCTTGAGGCAAACTCCTCTTGGCAGTAGTTACCCTGGAGAGACAGGCGACGAACCTTGCAGTAGTTGCTATGCTGCAGAGGTACGAGACCAGACGGATCCAATAAGAACAAAAAGTTCTCCTCTACTGATTTGGACACTATGAAATTAAGAATGACGTCGTGAACTCGACAGGTCAGCACTTCACCGTAGTGCTCATTCCATGGTTGGATCAAGCTTCGGTTTATCAGCACGTTGAAATACCTCAACCCTGCTTCATATACATTTTCTCCTGGCCTTGCATTGATAAATCCTTCTGCAATCCATCTACTTACCAAACTACTCTTTGCAATTTCACAATCTTCTGGAAATGCACTCAAGTATAACAGGCAACTTCTTATATCATGTGGAAGATTATAATAACTGAGTGCTAACACTGACTGCATGGTCTCGAGATACTCATTTCCTGGTAGTGGAGAACTGATAATTTTTTTCACCTCATTCCAATGATATAACGATTCATGATCAGCCAAGAAGCTGGATATGGAAATAATTGCTAGAGGTATACCATCACACCTTTTCAGTATCTCTTCAGAAGCTAGCTCAAATTTAGGAGGACATTTCTCTTCACAGTCAAAAATTCTTTTGTAAAATAACCTTTTGGAGTGAGCGCCATCAAGATGTTTCATTTGATAAACAAAACCACCATGAGAAGATGAAGATGATATTGCCACTTCTTTCACACGTGTCGTCAAAATTATTATGCTACCATGACTAGTTTTGACCAATGCTTCTCCAATGAAGTTCCATGGTTCCGGGCTCCATATATCATCCACTACGATAATATACCTGGCACATGTAGTTTTAATTTTATCATGGAAGAGCAAATTAAAGTCTAATTTATGTATACATTTTCAAAGGACCAAAATTATAAATGATACCCTTCCAAAGAACCGGAATTAGATTTCTAAAGTATGCTCATATGTTTGGTTGGGTGTTAGTTTACAAAATTCTTGAAATTGGTTTTACCATTTGTACTACGAGGTAATTATAGCTTACATAGCATTAAACAATAGTTTACTCCGGTTCGCAGCAAGTATACATCAGGCTTCCGGATCCCGAAAAAAAATAGTGCTTAGAATTACAACATGAGCATTTGTGCTACCTTTGCCTCATACTAGCAAATCCTATATACTTATACAATTCATCCCCATTAACTCTAATTCTCTCATCCCACAATGTGCCACATCACCTCAAATTAATCTAGCCATCAGTTATGTACTTGCGAAGATATTTTATGTTTTTTCTCTATTTCTTATAGCTTAGGATAAGTTTTCCCGCAGCAACGCATGGGGAACCATCTAGTTACCTAGGAAAGCTTGGCCCACTCAGTGCTTAGAACACAATACATCAAACTGGGGCACTTGTTTTCTTCGAACCTAGGTAGTCTAGCCTACCACCTTGTGGAGCTAGCCGGAAAGCCCATGGGTATTTCTCACTATTTTCCGTAACTGAACCAATAAAATGCAAAATGGTTTGTTTTTGGCCAACTATTTCTATACCTGAACTAGTAGGTCTTTTGGCAGTGTTTATCGTCTACTAATTGTAGCACATAACCAAATCAATGCCTCCTGTAGCATTTAGATTACAAGTATTGTATAGTTGGAGGGTGTTTAGAAAAGTTCTGATGAAAATTTGAGTTCTCATGCGATTGAGCAAAGTTAAAGATAACAAAAATGAAGATTAATTACCGAAACAAGCTAAGAATGGTCAGTTGAAAACAAATGGATCATTAGAGTGCACCTTTTTTGTTTGAGATGCTCCCTAAGATTATCCACGAGATTTGCTACATCATCCCAAGTGTTTGTTGACTTGCCAACTTGAGTAGAAATGTTGAGTAGAAGCTCCTTTATATTCGGTCTCTGAGACACCGAAACAAAGGCCTTGTACTCGAATTCCGCCTTGATTTTGTCGTACACTTGTTTAGCGAGAGTGGTCTTGCCCAAGCCTGCACATCCAACAATGGATACCATCCTGACATCATGCTGCGCTGCCGCTGACGACGACTCCTGCTCCAAGCGGCTGATGATGTCATCCCTGGGGCCATCGATGCCGACGAGGTGCTTCGTCTCCGTCCAGAGCGCGCACAGCCGGGCATCAACCTTGGTCGTCGAGGAGGAAGCATCCGAGCTGGTTGGTACAAGTCCATGGAGAGTGTACCTGTTACGCCGCTCGCTGACCTCCAAGACACGGGCCTTGAGCTGCTGGATCTGGCTCGCGATCTGACGGAACGCTCCGATCTTCTTGGCCATGCGCGCCATCTTGGCGGCGAGGCCGCTTTCGCCGGCGCCATGGAGGCGGTGGACGGAGAGGTCGATGCAGTCCTCGATGTCGTAGGCGAGATCCCGCACCCTGTCCCTCCAGTCCTTGCTGAGCTCGTCGAGCTGATCCGCATCTGCCAGCGCGTGCAGCGCCTTGTTCATGGTGGTGAGCTCGGACTGGAGGAAGGCGAGGTCGTCGCGGACTCCCTTGGCGTGCTTGTACTCGTCGCCGAGGAAGGCCGCGAGCTTTGCGAGGACGGAGTTCATCGCTCCGGTCGCCGCGCTCACCAGGACGCCCTCCATGCCTGCCAGATCGAGGTCAATTGCCCCCTGCTCTCTACCTCACTCTCGATCGCCTCTCTCGTTGTACGTATTGAACTCTTGTTGGTTCCCATGATCATGGAATAATTGTAGAAGTACTCGCTTCGTCACTAAATATTTGACATCATTAACTTTTTTAAACATATTTGACCGCTTGTCTTATTTAAAATATTTAAATAATTATCAATTCTTTTTCTATCATTTGATTTATTGTTAAATATACTTTCATGTTTACATATAGTTTTACATATTTTTAAAAAAACAAATAAGACGAACGGCCAAACATGTTTAAAAAGTCAACATCGTTAAATATTTAGGGATGGAAAAAATAGTATTTAATTTCCCTCGTTGATAGTGCTGCGAATAGAAAAATAGGGAAGCGAAGAATTTTGCACGACACCTGCCATAGCGATAGACAATTTTAATAGTAGTATTTTCTTCGCTAGCTAGCCTGGGTAGGACCAGACGCGAGTGAGATTTATCCATTCCCGTGCCTTCTCTTTCTCCATCAACGGCGAGCGTGGCGGCGAACGGCAGCTGTACGTGTGATACTTGCAGGTTGCAGCGGCCTCTCCTTCCGAAGGTCGTCGACCCCAACACGTTCACCGCCCTTTGAACTCCCCATCGGCCGCTTTGAAAAGAAAAAAAAACGTAGATATTAGAGAATTATATAATATCAAATAATTAGAATGGTAGGGCTTCAAACTTAGATCGTCTAGTCCATCACCTTATGAAGCTAGTCGGAAGATCCAGATCGTCCTGCGAGTTCCGGCGGCCCTCTCCTCAGCATCGGGCGTGGGTAGGCGGCCTCCGTGGGTAGGCGGCCCACGGGCATGTTGCCCACGGCGGTGACGAGCGACGACGCCAGCTAGCCCCGTAGACAGCAACTGCGACGCGTTCGCCGGCGTGATGGAGAGGTTTAGGAGCGCGTGGGGGCCGTCGTCGGTCGGCTCTGTCGGCACGGCCTCGAACGCGCGGACGAGAGGCCCTCCTTCTCGAAGGGCCGCACGCCCGCCGCTGAGGAGAGGGCCGCCGGAGCTCGCGGGACGCCGGGCATGGAGGGAACTCGCCGGCACCGGGCTTGGAGGGAGGTAGGGAGGAAGGTTGTGGAGGGAGGTGTGCGCGTGGGAGCTCGCCGGCGTCGGGCTCAGAGGGAGGCAGTGAGGGATGCCGGACTAGGAGGGGGCTGCTCCCCGTCGGCGAGCTGGAGGATGAGCGAGGAGCCGAGGAGGAAGATGAAGGGAAGGGGATAGAAGCTGACTTGTGGGTCCCACACTGCTTTTTGGGTTGCAAGCCACGGTGGTACGCCACGTAGGCAAAAGTGGCAAATTGTTAAGAAGCCATCACCTAAGAAGGGCAAAAAAAAAAAAGTACAAATCTAATAGGGGTATTTAGATAAGTGCCAAACGCAATAGTGGCAAATAGTTAAATTCTCCGGTATTTACAGGTTTGTGCATGTTTGTCTTCTGTGTAATCAAAAAAGAAAACATGGTTTCTCTCTCAACAAGACAACCAAGCAAGAGAAAGACTGATATATTTTCATGGCACTTGACCAACTTAACTCTGAAATAAGATTCATAGTAAGTCTATTCTTATAAAGTTGATTCTCATTAAGTGTAATTAATATTAAATTCTCTCTCCTCATGACGCCACATCAATTTCATTCTTTTGTCTTCGGATGATTAAGGGTGCAAACTACCCCATTTTCAAAAAGCCAGCCTTCGGATAATTGATAAGGGTGCAAATTGCCTCTTCTCCAAAAAAAACCACTCCATACATTTTAATTAATTATTGCCTTTAAATAATCGACCAAATGTGCACGATATAGAAAGCACGTGAATGCATTCGCGAAAAGGAAAGCACGTGAATGAAATCATAACAAAAAGGAATTACACAGCTTATATATACTCCCTCCGTCCCTAAATATTTGACGCCGTTCATTTTTTTACACATGTTTGACCATTCATCTTATTCAAAAAATTTAAGTAATTATTAATTATTTTCATATCGTTTGATTCATTGTTAAATATACTTTTATGTATACATTTAGTTTTACATATTTTACAAAAGTTTTTGAATAAGACGAACAGTCAAATATATTTAAAAAAGTCAACGGCGTCAAATATTTAGGGAAGGAGAGAGTACTATTTTGTCGCAACCCATAGGTCCGCATTACATAAACGCATGCCAGTTTGAGTAAAATGCACCATTAGTACCACAACTTGTGAGGTGGGTGTAATTTAGTCACCCATCTTGTAAAATGCTTAACCAAGTCACTCATCTTGTCTTAAGGGGTGCAAATCACATAAAACATATGCCGTTGGGTTATTCGTAATGAAATTATATGCTATATTAATTTGTTTTGGAAACATGGTCACACAATCCATAAATAAACCAACATGCAATGCTGCCGGTAGTAAAATCCAATTAAAGATGATTTTTGTTATTGATTGCTAAGTACAATATGGTCATTTTTATTAAAAGTAGGAGTAGTAGCATATGAGTGTTAATTTGTAATTTTAATGCTTGCCCTGTCCACATGGCTAAAAAATGCATGATGTTAGGTCGATATGGCCTGCAATTTAAAAACAACTAATCCATGTGACAATGTATTTGGTAAGATTTGCACCATCGAAGCAAGATGAGTGACTTATTTAAGCAATTTGTAAGATGAGTGACTAAACTGCACCTACCTCGCAAGTTGTGATACCACTGGTGCATTTTACTCCAGTTTAATTAATGGATAGAGCTAGCAAACCATAACATATGGGGCTAGAGGAGCAACCAAACGTAGCGTGCTTATTCAAATACATGAAAATTGAAACAAGTGAACAAGTTTGAAAATGGTAATTATGCAACTGAGTAAAAATGGTAGAGATGAAACACAAATGCTGTGCCAACTCCAGGACCAAGCCAAGGTAGCCATTGATGCAAAAGCCATCGTCCTGTTCCATTGAGCAAGGAAGACCAATCAGTGGTGTTCATGGAAAAGGTAAATGAAACAAGGAGCAAGCTGGGGAGCAAATTATATTATCTGGCAACAAATTATCACTTAGAAGGAAGGAGCAAGTTAATTACCTGCGGCTCATTGACGCTTCTGTTTTTCGCTGCTCCACCTCTAGTGCTACTGAATGTATGTCGCAGTCGTGAGTGAGGGACGGTTGGGATGTGTGTTCGCAATGTTCAAGATTTTTTCTTTCAGTTTTGAGACCGCATCTAGATTGCCAGAAATCCAGGCATGGACTCTGCAGAGGGTGTTGGGGAGGTGCTGGAAGGAATCATTCTCACCAACCACATTCAATCTAATGCCAATGTGGAGGTCCTTCAGATTAGGCATGGAATCATGCATAAACAACACGTTGCAAAGAAAGGCAAACTTGAGACATCGGAAACCATGGTTGCTGATGGTGAGCCATGATCCTTGTGTGTCTGAAAAGGGAAGGGCAAGATATTCGAGAGCTTTCAGGTCTCCAAGCATTTCGAGATCGTCCTGAGTAACATATGCTTTACTGAGCTCTAATTTCTCAAGCTTGGCAGCAAGGCGAATCCAACTTGGAATGGTTGTCGTCTTGAACCCGTTTACAATGCTCAATCTCCGGAGGTTTTTTAGGGAAGGGAACCACGAATCAAACAAGAAGCGTTTTGCAGCTATATCCGAATAAGAATAATAAAGAGACAGATCTAGATATTGAAGGCTATGTCTGTCCAGTGCATTAAGTGAGGAGATGAAAATCTTCTCGTAGCTCTTTTCATGCTCGGCATGGGCCTCATCAGAATCTCTAACATGGTCAGGAATCCAAGATACCGCTAGTACTCTCAGCTTGGTAAGCTCACCTAGCTCCTTCAAAAAGCTTACCGGTTGATTGAAGGGCAAGAGACCTGTTAGCTGCTCCAATGCTTGCATCTTGCTAACACCTTCTGCAGGGAACATGACGTCAGAATTGACAGACAGACGAACCAATTGCTGAAGTAGAACAATGGATGGTGGTAATTCTTTAACTTGAGTATCTAGTATATCTAATGTCTCCAAATGCTGGAGACGCCCAATATTGGCGGGGAGCACACTTACTCCTGTTCCGCTAATGCTCAGATACCTCAAATAGGCTAACTTTTCTATATTAGCAAGATGGTTGTTTGTCAATGATTCGCACCCTTCTAGATCCAGTACTCTTGCAACTTTAAATTCCGATAGAGGATGCAATCCTGTGCAGTCCATAGAACAAGCAAGTGACCGGACATGAGGCTTAATCGACTTCATGCTCGAGGCAAATTTCTCTTGGCAGTAGCTACCCTGGAGAGACATGCGACGAACCTTGCAGCAGTTGCTATGCTGCAAAGGTACAGGACCAGACGGATCCAACAAGGTCATAAAGTTCTCCTCTACTGATTTGGACACTATGAAATTAAGAATGACGTCGTGAACACGGCAGCTCAGCACCTCACCGTAGTGCTCATTCCATGGTTGGATCAAGCTCTGGTTTATCAGCACATTGAAATACCTCAGCCCTGCTTCATATAGATTTTCTCCTGGTCTTGCATTGATAAATCCTTCTGCAATCCATCTGCTTACCAAACGGGTCTTTCCAATTTCACAATCTTCTGGGAATGCACTCAAGTATAACAGGCAACTTCTTAAATCATGTGGAAGGTTGTAATAACTGAGTGCTAACACTGATTGCATGGTCTCAAGATCCTTATTTCCTGGTATTGGAGAACTGATAATTTTTTTTACCTCATTCCAGTGATATAACGATTGACGATCAGCCAAGAAGCTGGATATGGAAATGATTGCTAGGGGTATACCATCACATCTTTCCAGTATCTCTTTAGAAGCTTGTTCAAATTCAGGAGGACATTGCTCTTCACAGTCAAAAATTCTTTTGTAAAACAACCTTTTGGAGTGAGCGCCATCGAGATGTTTCATCGGATAAACAAAACCACCATGAGAAGATGAAGATGACATCGCCACTTCTTTCACACGTGTCGTCAAAATTATTATGCTACCAGGACTAGTTTTGACCAATGCTTCTCCAATGAAGTTCCATGGTTCTGGGTTCCATATATCATCCACTACGACAATATACCTGCCACATGTAATTTTAATTTTATCATGGAAAAGAAAATTAAAGTATAATTGATGTATAGATTTTCAAAGGACCGAAATTATAAATGATACCCTTGCAAAGAACCAGAATTAGATTTTCAAAGCATGCTCACATGTTTGGTTGGGTGTTGATTTACAAAATTCTTGAAATTGGTTTTACCCTTTGTATTACGAGGTAACTATAGCTTACATAACATTAAACAATAGTTTACTCTGGTTCGCAACAAGTATACATCAGGGTTCTGTGTCCCAGAAAAGAAAAACAGTGCTTAGAATTACAACATCAGCATTTGAGCTATCTTTGCCTCACAGCAAAATACTTAGGAAAGCTTGGCCCACTCAGTGCTTAGAACAAAATACATCAAACTGGGGCACTTGTTTTTATCTCATGTTGAAAACAAACCAAATAATTGTTTGTTTTGAGCCTACTATTTTCTGTAACTGAACTAATAAAATGCAAAAGGATTTATTTTTTCTTTGTTTTTGTCCAACTATTTTTGTAACTGAACTAGTAGGTCTTCTTGGCAGTGTTTATTGTCTATTAATCGTAGCACATAATAAAATTAATGCCTCCTTCAGTCTTTAGCTAAGTTCCAAGTTTTGTATAGTTGAAGGATGTTTAGGAAAGTGTTGATGAAAACTTAAGAATATATAATTTTGAGTTCATGCATAGGGCTTGAAGCAAAGTTAAAGATAAAAAAATAGACTATAATCTATATTTTCTATAAAGTTACAACCTACTAAACATCTAAAGCTTAACATGCAAGCACAGTACGCATAGTAGTTATTAGTACACTCTAAAGGTTAAAACGCAAGCATGCAACATTAACCTACTAAGAACCTACTCCCTCCGTTTCAGGTTATAAGACTTTCTAACATTGTCCATATTCATATAGATGTTAATGAATCTAATCACACATATATGTCTAGATTCATTAATATATATATAAATGTGGGCAATGCTAGAAAGTCTTATAATATGAAAAGGAGGAAGTAATATAAAACCCATCATGTATGCATAGCAATTACTCCTACAATTCATTATATTGTAAACCTCAACATACAAGCATACTAACTTATATTTCTCACATTATTTTCACAATATTTAACCAAAAAAAATCTATCCTTAAAAAAGATAAGTTCTACAACATTCAACATAAATCCATCCTTATATTCTGCAGCAAAGCGAGAAAGGTCAGCGGAAAACAAAACGGAACATGAGAGTGCACCTTTTTTGCTTGAGATATTCCCTAAGATTATCCACCAGATTTGCTACATCATCCGACATGTTTGTTGACTTGTTGCCAACTTGATTAGAAATGTTGAGGATAAGCTCCTTTATGTTCGGTTTCTGAGACACCGAAACAAAGGCCTTGCACTCGAATTCCCCTTTGATTTTGTCGTACACTTGTTTGGCCAGAGTGGTCTTGCCCAAGCCCGCACACCCGACGATGGATACCATCCTGACACCGTGCTGCACCGATGACAACGACTCCTGCTACTGCTCCATCAACCGACTGATGATGTCATCCCTAGGGCCATCGATGCCGACGAGGTGCTTCGTTTCCGTCCAGAGCGCGCACAGCCGGACATCAACCTTGGTCGAGGAGGAAGCATCCGAGCTAGTTGGTACAAGTCCATGAAGAGTGTACCTGTTACGCCGCTCGCTGACCTCCACGACACGGGCCTTGAGCTTCTGGATCTGACTCGCGATCTGACGGAACGCTCCGATCTTCTTGGCCATGCGCGCCACCTTGGCAGCGAGTCCGCTTTCGCCGGCGCTGCCGCGGAGGCGGTGGACGGAGAGGTCGATGCAGTCCTCGATGTCGTAGGCGAGATCCCGCACCCTGTCCCTCCAGTCTCTGCTGAGCTCGTCGAGCTGATCCACATCTGCTAGCTTTTGCAGAACTATATTCATGGTGCTCAGCTCGGACCGGAGGAAGACGAGGTCGTCGCGGACTCCCTTGGCGTGCTTGTACTCCTCGCCGAGGAAGGCCGTGAGCTTTGCGAGGACGGAGTTCATCACTCCGGTCGCCGCGCTCACCAGGACGCCCTCCATGCCGACTCATGCGTCAGATCGAAGCCAATGGCCTTGCTCTCTCGCTCTCACTCTCACTCTCACTCTCGTTGTTTATATGAAACTCTGGTTGATTTGACGTTCATGATCGAGCCAGGAGGATATAATTTCCCTCGATATGTGTTTATGTGCCAGGGTACACGTTCATGAGCCAATAGGATATATTTTCCTTCGAGACGTGTTCCGTGGAAGGGTAAAGTTATTATTAACTTATTGGTGATACCCTATATATGTCCACCCATTTGTCCTCTATAAATTTTCACGCCCGCCCATGTTAGGTTTGTCGGTCACATCTGCGAGGAAGCCACTCCTAGAGGTCCAGGAGCAAATTTAATACTCCAAAAAAAAAAAAGTTATCCTGGTACGGTACAGAACTCTATTACGTGTACATATCGAGATTTATATACATATCCGGATTCGTAGTATTATAATATATCACGTTCTGTATTAGATTAATTAACTTTTTTCTGATATGGAGGTAGTAAAATATACATAACGACCACTAATCCAAAGATGAAGAAAAAATTATTATCACATCTTCATTTGAACCACCCTAATAAATACAATGCATGTACCTAATGGGATTAGATATCTTGATAGTGAAGGATTTTAGAAAAATATATATGAATTTAGAGGAAGGGGATATACTAGTTAATTGCACGTCTTGTATCATGAGATATGAAAAAAGTGGTTACGTCTTATATTTTAGGATGAAGGGGTATTGAATTATTGAAGAGAGATCAAGAAAAATAAGAAGTGCAAAGCTAGCTTTACACATACTCCAATATAATTGCACTAATTATATATACTTGGTATTTTCTGGAATATTTCTTCCAAATGGTGTTCTTGGCAATGCTTCAATTCAAATAGAAAGGTTTCTTGGAAATATTTTTCATAGCCTTCTAGCACATCTAGAAACAACAAAATGGGAAGATCTTTCACAATATTTATCCTTATTTTGATAACTGGCGGTCTACTTTCCGGAACGAGGTTCTCTTGCATATGTGTAGAATGAATGATCCCCTAAGATAGTTGTTGATTGATTACAACTCTTGCAGTGCTATTTTTGTCCTCCTCCTTTTTATTTATATTTGTTCATAACTTTTAGTATATATAAACCAGACAAAAACGCTTGGTAAAAAAAACTTATAGCTAATCTACTATATATGTTAGCTCTAATATTTATCTTATAGGATTAGTTAGAATTTCCTCCATCCAAAAGTCTAAGGCATATTTTCTGTCACCAAAACCAAGGAGAAATTAACTTATTCCACATATAATAAAAAATGAGCTATATACATGCATGTAACCAATAAGTATTAAGCTGGTTGTTCGGGTTCCCATCAATAATTTAATTTAGCATCGTAAAACAAAATATTCATTTAAATATTACATGCATGTTGCAAAACTGACTATCTTATTTATAGAAACTAGAAAACAAAATATATTTAAACTTTTGGATGGAGGGAATCACTACTAGAAAAACAGATTTTACCAACACAAACTTTTATTTTCCTAGGCCGGAAAAAAAATACCCTCTTGTAACCTCTTGCAAAAATAACTAGAGAATCCCTAGCTCTAGCCCTGCCTACGAAAATCAATTTTTACTAATGGAGTCTTAAAGAAGCCCACCTACGAAAATATCTTTATTTTCACATGTAGACCTCTTAAGGTTCCGTTTGAAAAAAAAAAATCTGATTCTCGTAGACGAGACCTTAAGTGATCCGCCTGCAAAATTAAAAATCTTAAGATGCCAATCCCATGCTATGTTAAAAATGCTTCAGCCACCTTGCAAACTGCACAAGTCCAGGTACTCCACAAATCCATGTACACACAAATTTAATTGATATTTCCAACAAACCACTCAACACACTCACACATTCTAAATAATTTGGCCTACTAAATAAAACTAAGTATAAACAAATTAGGGCACAAACCCCCCCCCCCCCCTCTTTTGTATAAGCAATATAACTATTTTTACTGAAAACATTATAAAATTAACCTCTCATGACAATATTCCGAGCATTATAACAGTCCTAAGCCAACCCACAATCGTCTTCTCAGAAAAACTCTAAATATGGTATTGGTTCTTAGTCAATTCATAATCATTCTTTCAAAATGATACTCAGACACGGTTTCTGTCCTGATGGTACAGTGTGATGCGTGGGAGCTCCTTGTATATGGAAAAAGGAGTGAAGTTTCGAGGAAGCCTAAATTTAAAAAGATTAGAGAAGAAATTGGAATATACATCCTTTGTCCCATCTAGCAATGAATCTGGACGTGAGCCCACGTCCAAAACTTCAAATTGATCGCTAGAAGTTCGTTTTTTTTTATGGAGGAAGTATACGTGAGTAAATCCGAGTAGGAATATGAGTATTAATTTAAATTTGAATGGAGTCCAAGTTTAAAAAAATGTAAAAGAATTAAAATGTGAGAAAATCCTAATCCTAGCAGAAATAGGAGTCCTAATCCAAATTTGGAGGGAAGATTAAAAAGGAATTGGAATCTACACTCAATATCTATACATGGTGTTCTTTTATCCTGAAGATAAAGATTAAATTTTTTTCACAAAACGAGGTGGTATTAACGTATGATTGATTGAGTTTTAATTATTACAAACTTGAAAATATATTAATATGATATTTTAGAGCAACTTTCATATAGAAAGTTTTCGTACGAAACGCAACGTTTAGCAGTTTGAAATGTGTGCCACGAAAATCTTAGGCCTGGTTTAGTTCCTAACTTTTTCATCAAACTTTCAACTTTTCCATCACATCAAAACTTTCCTACACACAGAAACTTCCAACTTTTCCTTCACATCGTTTCAATTTCAACCAAACTTCCAATTTTAGGGTGAACTAAAGACACCATTAATCTTCATCCAACTCTTGTTGGAGAAAAGAACAGGACCTAAATGTTGGTAGTGGTGCTAGTGGTTCTGTCACCACCCCTACCACTGACAGGTGGGGCTTACAATGTACTCCCTCCGTCCCAAAAAATGACAAACCATGGATTTCCGTGTTCAACGTTTGACCGTTCGTCTTATTTGAAAAAATTATGAAAAAAAAAAATTAAAAAGACAAGTCACGCATAAAGTATTAATCATGTTTTATCATCTAACAACAATGAAAATAGTAATTATAAAAAAAATCATATAAGACGGACAGTCAACCGTTAGACACGGAAACCTAGGGTTTGTTTTTTTTTTTTATGGAGGGAGTATCAGTTCTCCTACCTATCCTAGCCCTGAATCCTTGATCCCATGCCTGCCGCTTCTCCATCTGCGACAAACCGACAACGACCCAGGGCACCGGCCGCCAGCAGCGCGCCCCCGAACTGCCACCCCGTACAGCACGCAGCCAACCTCGTCGGCTGACGCGGTGACGCCTCCAGGCTCCAGCAGCGTTGACAAGCCAATCCGTTGATGGAGCATGCGTGAGCTCATGCGTGCTGGTGGAGATTGGGCCGGGGCTTCTAGCATTGCTGCAGCTGCAGCTGCTGCCTACGGTGACAGCTGAAGCGGCGTGGACGCAGATCCGTGGGCTCCATGTGAAGAAAGAAGAGGAGGATCCAGGAGCTGGTCTCATCGATTTTGGACGACAAATGGAATAGATATTATATTTTGAACAAAGTTTAAACTCATAAAATTGCTATAGTTTTGGACGACAAGGAGAATAGATCCGTAGATACTAATGATACGATCTCTCAACATATAAGCATCTCTAAAATTTGGTTAGTACAGCTATTAATTAAGTGAAAATAATTAAAGGAAGATTCTGATTGTTTGTAAGAAAAGGTAGATAAAATTAATTAGAGAATAATTATGATTGATAAAAATAGAAAGGGTTTGTGAAGAAATAGCTTTACTTTGTATAATTTTATGACGGAGGAAGTTATTCATGGCCATCATCTGGTTGATTGATCTCATTATATATTAGGCTTGAAATGTCGGCAGAGCACGAATCACGTAAAGGTGGTAGCATACTCACTCCGTCTAATAAAAAACTAACCTAACTCCGTCTAATAAAAAACCAACCTAATACAAGATGACATATTTTAATACTATAAATCTGGACATACATTCTAGTATTAGAATGTGTCGCATCCAATCCTATATTTGATTTTTATGGGACAGAGAAAGTATTTAGTGGCGTGCATTTTAAAAATGGACAAATCCTGCTCTTCATCCGACATGAATAAGTAATTTAGTATTGAGAGGAAATGGCAGAATCCAGCACAGAAATGATCAAATAAGACAAAGAGTATAATAAGATAGCCGCAATACACAACATAATAAGGCTTTGTACATATGCAGCGCGGGTTGTATAACTAACTTGTAAGTTGAGCAGCACAGGAACTGCTACAAAACGGTGTTCCAGCATTGCAAGTCAGTTTAGCGCGTTAGCACCCTCACTAGGCTCTCGCAACCTCCTAAAGCTAAACAGATTAACGACAATCTAACATAGCTAGGGAGAGAGATCATCTATCTTAGCAGATTCAGAGTTCAGAGCCACCAACAAAATCTTCTTGATGAGCAATGCATAGTTATCTGACTTACCATTACCTGCGCGCATCCGGACCAGCTGGCCGAGCCTGACTTGTCACATGACTTGTCTGCTGACCAGCAATGTTCACACTGGGGTTGTAGCGTCCAATCGCTACGCTGTAAGCTTCACCAGTCAGGCTCCCTCTCATCTGCCCTGTGGGACGCCAGCTTTCATCCACAGGAAGCTCCTGAAGATCATCGGAAGTTCCGATAGGGGGAGGTGTGCTCGGAGGCCGAGCAGTAGCTGGCAAGAAGGGAGACTGTGCACGAGGTGGTGCCTGAGAAATTGTAGGTCGGGGCACTGCTTGTGGTCTCATTGCTTGGCTGCGTTGTTGCGCAGGGAAAAGATGACCGCGGATCTGCGGGTTGACTGCACTTGTGCCGCCTGGTTGAGATGGCAAGACCTGTGGAGCTGTGGAAGGTTGAGCCACTGTAGCTTGTCCAAGTTGATTCATTAGATTGCTCACTAGCCGATGAACGTGATGGGACTGTTGTGCGGGGGGAGCTCCATGGGCATTAGCACCTATAGCCTGTCCTGGGACTCCTGGCGGCGGTCTTGTACCCATGAAATTTTGAGGAGCAGTAAGCCCAATGAACTGGCCTTGATGATAGTTTTGCGTGGCTCGAATCTCCTGTCAACAAATATGTGATTCTGTGAACAACTGCTTGTTGATATAAATTTAATGCAAGTAAAAGAATTCAAACGTGTATCATGAATTGCTTCTCTCTACAATTTATCAACGATTTGTATTGTAAAATGAACTACAGATGGCTGGCACCCTGCAACAGTACTAAACCACTAAACCAATATTTTAGGTCATGCACCAACTTCGCTGGCTGACAGTTATCACAGCAGGTACCATCACATACTCACTACTTGTATTTGCAGTACGCAAGCAAGCAGTACGAAATGAGTAATGAAGATAGTGAAGTAGTTCAAGTGCCTGTTAAATATTTGCCCCTATTCAAATGGAGACAAGGATAAAAAAGGTAATAGAGCCAAGTAAAAGAGAAGATAAGATGACCATGTTGTCAATACTCAAACATCTCAAAAATATGAGCGAACATTAAACGGGCTATTACATAAAACAAACCTTTTACTCTTTTAAAAGGAGCTGGGTTTTGGGGAAGGGTGTTGATAATGCAATCTACTTCTACAACACCTCATTCTAGAACTCTAGAAGATCTTTAGTGGCTAGATGTGGATAGCCATGTGTATGGTACTGTCCACCGTGGTGTTTGCAACATCTTTTTCAACAATTGCATCACTAGAACATGTGTATGTATGGATGGCTAACTGACCTCATGCAATCGTGTATACAATTTTTAGAGTTGAAGATAATTATGTTTTTTTTTCTTATTTTACTTTACATCATATAGTGCATATATTTGGAAAGTAAGTTGGCAAAACTATAGAACATAATTTTTGAAAGGGGTGAAATAGAGTAGCTCAGGGACCAAGTATAACATATTTCAGCCTCCAAATCACTTTATAATACTAGTATGGTTGTGAAGCTAAGATGGCTTATCATTAGTATTACAGAAAGTAAATTCATCAGATAGTTCTACTGTGATTACAGGGCTGTTTAAATTTATAGCGACATGTAACATGACTCTGTTCAAAGATAAACCAATGCTACCTTATGTTGGCAAAAATACCAAGATATAGTGGCTTGAAAAGATTTTTACCTGCTGTGTTGACTGGTGTTGCAATAACGGAGCAGCATCTGGAGCCCTTGATAGTGATCCAATACCAGTGCTCATAGCAGTAATGACACTATCTGCGTTTGTCACCTGATGTACTTGATATGCTGAAGCTGGACTGGATTGTGGGAAAGGAGGTGGACAATTGTAGATATTTGGTCGCACTCTCTGTGGTTGCACTGGCAGAGCCTGAATTCCTGTAGGTTCTCTCGCGACATTCCTTGGTATAGGAGGTCTTGCAATTTCTAATCTAAGCTGTGGATCTATTCGTGGTTGCGACGGCACAATATCAGAACGTGTTCCTTGTGCTACATGCTGTCTCAGAACTACAGAATTAGAGGTATCAAGAGAAGGAGAGACTGCATCTGTGATAACAGGGTGCAGAATGTTATGAGGCAGAATAGACTCCAAAGTCCCGAATGAACTAGAGCCCAGACCGCCAGTAGAAGGCAGTGATGAATTTTGGCCAGAAGTTGAAGTGGCATTTCCACGTTCATTGTTTCCACGGCTTGCACCGCCTGCATATAGATCTTCTGCCTGCGAAACTGTGTTCATAGGCAAATCCGAAAGATAGTCTGCCACAGATAGATCCTGACAATTCAAGAAAGGCTTCACATCTTCTGATGCAGAGGTAAAACTCATTGGCACATCACCATCATTGTCTTCATTTATCAGATCTATGACATCATCAGCAGTCGCATCAGTGTCCATAGTATCTCTACTCTGCTGAATGACGTCACTGGAATGTCTATCAGATCTCTCATCATTAGTTGAAATGGCTTTCCAAGATCCATCAGCAAACACAAGGACATCAATAGTATCTTCTCCAGTCTCTTGTAATATCTTATGGAAAAATAAAGACTGATCACATACAAAACATAATGAAATGATGTATATGCGCAGATACATTATACAACTTACCTTGACCATCTTTTGATCAATCCGTAGGTCAGTGAAGTTTGAAGGTGTATTACAAAATGGACAGCGCCAAGTCGGCTTCCTCAAGTTCAACTCCATGTAATTATCATAATCAAAACACTAAACAATGCATGCTCTGTCATTACTTTTGTTGAAAGAAAAAGGCTCAAGCCATGAATACAAACAAAATGATAAAACCATACCTGATAGTGTTTGCATAGGCGCCCTTTGATGGGAGTTTTTATGCGCCTAAAACTGCAACAAGAGATGGCAAATGAATATTTTCCAGGCCAGAATCAGAAAGCAGCTGACTAACATTTTTCATTCAAATAAATGATAGAAGTACAATTTTAAGTTACTGAATTTCACTTAACCCCCATCAATCTAGACTGACTCTAGACAGCCAAATTCACTAAGTGTGCATTAATTAATTAATTCATTGTTGTACCTTTACATCACCATCTAGACACAGAGAACATGATTTTGCCAAACTAGGTATTAAAAAAGAATAGTTCTTAATTTCTTATGAGGTTCTTTGTCCATATCCATGGAAGAACACAGGTCAGGCCTTGTGCCCTTGTGGCGAACTTGTGTATGCAGCAAATTTCACCAACATGGGAAAGTTGAAACACAGTGCGCAGCAAATTGTATTCCATGAAGAGTGCAATACATTACCTTATGGGGCACTTCAGGGAAACTCTAGATGGCCCTTCGAGTAAATCAGAATCTACCAAAAAAAACAAAAAACAGATCTATGAAAATTTCAATTCAAAAAATAGAATAGCTGACATACACTAAATGATTAAAAATAAATTTCACCCACCAGGAGGATCAGCAGCGACTGGTTGTGCATAATCATTTAGGTTTGGAGCGTCAAAGGACTCCAATTTATTCAGAAATGCAACAGCTATGATATAGTTAGCTGAAACAAAAGGCTGTTGGTTTATAATATTCAACAATTGAAATAGAAGTAAACAGACACAACACCATGATCATGCATACCATTAAAATATCCTATAGCTTGGATGATGTTTGCCCCGTATTTGAGCATCCTAGTAATATCAGTGGGGAACTGGGGTCCTGTTTCCTGCAACATAATTTGAAAGCATGAATTTAGGTTGTAACGTAATTGAAGTTTAACAAGTTGCAGAAGACTATGTGGTCAACTCAACACTGACCATTGAAACATTTGTCCTCTTGTCCACGCCTTTTCCATTGACTAAAAAGCTGAAAATAAAACGTAATATTGTTTTTTGGCTTAACATTCGCAAGCATCAAAGTAAAAAAAAGAAAGGAAAGAAATGTACCTCACATGTGGCGGGTTTGCAATACATGATGAGGCATTTAAGTCTTCCTTTTGCACAACAATTAGATTCTACAAAACATAAGAATATTAGTAAAGTTGACTTTATATAACATCATAATGCATACAAAATACAGAAGTACCAGAATGAATAGTCATAAACTCCTGCCATTTTGACACTACAGTCCTTTCACATCTAATCACTCCCTCAGTAATAAACACAAATGCATGTAGATATGAGATGCTACAAGATGACCATGCCACCATATATGCAACCAGTGGGTTTTGGTGACAACTTAAACTATTTCGAAAGAAATTTAAAATATCCTTTGGCTTCTATACTTCAAAAGGGGTTTTTTACAGCTAACTTAATTTATTTCAATTCAAAAGATTTTGAGGTACTAGGACAGATAATAGTCATAAGCAGGAACTACTTTACAAGAAACGAGTATGACCTATAGAAGTAGTCAGTCAAATAAACAGTGGTTCCATGCCTATGTCACTTGCAGATGCAAAAAAGAACATGACAGTAAATATTATGTAAAATATTGTACAAACACACATGGGGTTGTACTTTATAATGATGATTCATGATATATTTTAAAAAAAAACTCACATGGAAAGACTAGCACAGCATGCATAAAATAAATATTTTCACTCAGTGATACTCACAATCTTTTCCTCTCGAGGCACATTCTTATGGATGAAAAAATCGGCCATTAAAACATCATATCCAACCTGTAGAGTATGGACAAATACATCAAAATTAGTATCCATTCCTAAAACAAACCTTTATTATCTGAGGATCATCAGTTATATGTTTGCACATTAAGCATCTGTTTGGTTGGATGGATTTGGAAGGTTGGGATGGGGCCAACCCATTTTCGGAAGTGTTTGGTTGAAGGGGTAGATGGGTTGGGATGAACCTAAAATAGAATATTCCACTAATATCCAGGTTTGTTTGATCCACCAAAATCAGCCGGACTGGGCCAACCCACCTCGCGCCAGCGCTGTCACGTGAGGCGCATGCACGCGGTAACCTCATCCCTCCTACCGATTCACCTCTTATCTCTTTCCCTTTTTCCCCCTCCATCCATATTGGCGAGGCAATAGGCGCTAGAGGCGGCGTCAACCACGTGCCCGAGCCGGCGGCATATGCAACCTCCTCCCTCCTCCATGCTCTCTCTCTCTCTCTCTCCAGCCGCTCGTCCTCGTCAAAGCAGGTGACTGCGATAGGAATCCCTACATGTATTTATTCACATTTGTGTCAAATCAATCTGTCTCTGGTTGCTTGTTGCTAGTCCTCATCATCAGCTGTTGGTCGTCCTTGCATCCTCCTCTCTTGTCAAACTTGTGAGATTTTATTTGCATGAGATGAATGTCCCTTGCTATCAATAAGATTAGTTTTAAGCATATTGTAGTATTTTTGTTTCATCTATTTCTTCAGTAGACAATTTTTTATGTGAGCAAGAATTAGTTTGTGATGTGGGCAAGTAATTTGTGATGAGATCATTAATTTGTGCTTGAGCATGATATGGCAACATATTTCTGTTTTTGTTAAATTTTTGTGGCTGCTACGAATGTATTTTTAGTGTGAGAGTTTATTATTTTTTTGTGGAAGCTAAAATGTATCGTTCACGTGAGAGGTAACCTCACCAATTCTAGTTGAGGAAGTATCTCTATCCAGCTATCCCACCTCATCCCTCCATCCAAACAGGTGATGGGACCATTCCATCCCACTTTATCCCTCAAACCAAACAAAAAATAGGGTTCGTTCCATCCCTCTAACCAAACAAAAAATAGAACCATCCTACACCAGAAAATAGGGATGGACCTAACCCATGGTGAGGATCTAAGAATTCGAAAAAACTGGTGCATAGAAAAGAATCATCAACATTTATCAGATCAATTTCTGAAACTTTGTCTTCAACACCAGATTGACTACCTTTGCTTCCAGCGAAGTGACTAGACGTTCAAACTTCAATTGAGGATAGTACCTATAGGATTTTTGAGGAACAGAAATAAAAGCAGGATCACCTTAGTTCAACTGAAAATTAAAATATTGTACATAAACAGACTAAAATACTTTAGATTACTTCTCAATACTAACATAATTACCTAATTAACTGAGATCGCAGAATATAACTTTCAATTTAATATCTTCGAAATTTTGAAATATACTAGTTCTATTTTAAAAGGAATATAGACTTCGCATTCAAATATTGAAGTCCAAGTTTCTTTCAATGTACTTCTTAAGTACTACCTCCGTTTTTAAATATATGATGCTGTTGACTTTTGGACATCATGTTTGACCATTCTTCTTATTAAAAAAAAACTAACTAGGCTTGTTTTATCATCGAAGGTACTTTAAGCATGTCATATATTTGCATGTTTGTACAAAAGTTTTTAATACGACGAATGGTCAAACGTCACATCAAAAAGTCAGCCCCATAATACATTTAAAGAAACAGTTATTGAAGATTTGACACGTCACCTTGAACAAGAAAATTTCACATGTCATTTTGAATTTAAAAATCTTGATTATTGGATATAAAATCCATATAAGAAATTTGTAACATATTTTTCAAAGAGTAAATTGCACTTTGGGCCGCATATTCTTACCAAAGTTTCACTTTGAACCACCCTTACAATTCTTATTTTCACTTTGGACTAGTTACTGTTGCCAAATGTTCACTTTGGACCGGGTGGCTCACATGTAAGTGACAAATGGACAATAGAGAGGTGGTTAGTCTCATTGACATGTTGGCCACCCGGTCCAAATACAACATTTGGTAACACTACCTATTCCAAAGTGAAAAAAATCACTATAAGGGTAGTCCAAAGTGAAACTTTGGTAAGAATATGTGGCCCAAAGTGCATTTACTCTTTTTAAAATTCTTATCCATGCACAAGTGTGTGAAAGAAAGATATAGTCACTACCTTGGCATTATTGTTGAAATAATTTGGATCACAGTGCTGTCATTATCTGGCTGGCTGACAGGCGTGCAGAATTTGCCAGAGAGCTGCATGAAAAGCAAAAATTATGACTAAGCAAGCTAATATCTGAAGGACATGCCATTACCATAACAAACATAAACTCAAAATAACGAAAGTGATCATAACAAAGAATCAACATAATTAATAGTAACGGGATAAAACATTTCACACACCTCATTAGCCATCCTGAGAATTTCAGTACAATCTGTGGGTTGAAACCATTTTTCAGAACAAGCATTCTACAAAACAGCAAGCACAGGTTACTATTTTATTTTTTGGGTGGCAGATATATTACATTGGGAGATATCAGGTCAAAAAGACAAATTGTACAACTTGGGCATATGATCACATATAAAACTTTTTGTTGAAACATCTCGCAATAAAACATGAGTATGCATTTGGAAACTAAACAAATACATTGATGGGTAGGACTAACAGCTAAGATGGTTATTGTTGTATAGACATTAAAGGTAGTAAGCAGAGCCAGCAGCGGAGCGCTCGGTAGGGCGAGGCATGGCGCACACCATACCTCGTGCCGGCCGCGACCACGAGTACCAGCCCCTCTCACCGCGCTCCCGCTGGGCCACAGCGGCCAAATCATAAACCATTGCTGGTCCACTTGTGTCGTGTATTTGTCTAATGTTTCTCATCGAGCAAGTTGTGACGGCGGCTGACGCGATGGCTTCGACGGCGCCGTACATTCCGGTGAGCCTGCATCCTGGAGACTGGGACGGAAGTCGGCAGCGGCTAGCAGTACGAGCCACGCTCACGTGTGGAGCTAGGCAGCAGTAGCTTAGTTGGGAGCTTTTTCGATGAAAGAAAGAAACGAAACAAGGAATAGAGGAACAAGACCCCAATTTTCTAGCATCCATCTATCACTGTTAAATAAAACATTGGTAGTTTGCCAAATTTCATGTATTTGATGGATTAGTAGATATTGAAGTTGGATGCAGAATCATATACTATATCATAGAAATTAGAATAGCTGCATGTCACGATCTAGGATTTGTGGAGAAGAATCGGGATGAATGGGGGTAGATTGGATTATAGTAGATGAAGTAACAAGGAATGGTCCTGAACCTAAACGGCGCGACGTTCTCCGTCGCACTGAGAAGGCAGGCCGATGGGCACTGAGATAAATCTTGATCTAATGCTTCACTGATCTAGGATAGGATCCCTCCTTATATAGATGGAGGACTCCTTAATCTAATCCTAACAAACCTTATCTAATCCTAACAAACCCTAATCCTATCCAATGGGCCTAGGATGCCCGGCCCAAAGACCATGACACTGCAGAATCTGCAGTCTAGCGGCATGGTGTCGGTTGTTACAGTAGGTAACCTATGGTAAAAAATTCTTATTAAAAGTTTACTTTTAAAGTCTCCATCCACAATATTTGCATCAAGCGTTTTCGTTTAGCGTGCAGCTTTTTCGATATCATATTATTACTAAGTCTCCATCCACAATATTTGCATCAAGCGTTTTCGTTTAGCGTGCAGCTTTTTCGATATCATATTATTACTTTGTAGTTTTTTCGCTATATGTTTCATGTTCATAATATGAACTTTGATCTATTATAAGTGCAATCTCGAATGATAAGGATTTTAGCCCTCACGGCCTTGCCATGCCTCATTTTTTGTCCGTCCCCCGCCACTGAGCAGAGCAAACATTGGATTGAAAGTTTGAAACAAATAAACTGTTGGTATGTATGCAGACACCAAAAAAGATCAAAAGACTGGATTATTTTGGCTAAAAGAAGCTCTTACCATAGCTCGTCTATGACTGAGAAGAAGCATTTACCTTGCATGATATCATTAGCACCATAACAGAAGATTGCAGAAATTGATCTTTTCCTACCAGATACACCTGGTAAATAAACATTAAACTTCCGATCAATAACACACAATTAAATTGGAATACCTGGCTTCACTAAAAAAAATGGAGCCCTCTTTGTGCAAAAGGCCAAAAATAAACAGTTCAAACTCAAAGGTGGTAGTTGCACTAATAATTTGTTCATTGCCTCACATAACAAAGTTGGAAAGTACAGAAACAGTTAAGTCCTACCGGCTACTTTAAAGGTCGTTAGCATTTAAGGAGACAGGCAGCCAATGCTAGTTTACGACAGCAAGTAAAAGGGGAATGTGATGCTAGGCAGATGGCACTATCAAATAAAATAGTGCTGCCTTGGAGGGAAAAAGCTGGCATCACAGATTTCACAGGTACCAGATAGTGTACCAAGGGAAATCATGGAGTAGGAAATTGAGATATGGGAAATCAGGAGGTGCCATGTAACACAAGGATTTCTACAATTGTGTGTTTTTGCGAGCAGTGACAAATGAGGCTTTAACTATTAATATGTCGTATTGATTCTTTTGGAGGCTATCCATTCAAATAGTAGGATACCTTCATCTTTTAAAGTTCAGAAGAATCACATAAACAAGAAAAACACAACAGTTTCTTAGGAACGTAGAAAATAAAAACATAAGGGTTTGCTCGTTATCTTTAAAAAAAAAGTAGTTTTCTCAGCTGTAGTACTGCTTAAAGGGGGGAAATTATTACCTCACTTGCCAAGTTAGACTCTCTCCATATTATCATACGTGTCAATATTTAACTATGAGCTATAAAATTTTCCTCACACTGCAGATGCTGTGACAATTTTAAAGAAATAGTTTGGTGGTTCCAGAATGATTTTGCCAACCTACCATGCGTCAATAAATTCCAATGTGCTATTCTGATCGATATGTCATTTTACTATGCGGTTCACCATTGGGCCATGGGCACAATAACAATTAGCATGCAATGAAACGTAGAAGTTATTACATTTAAAAACATCCATTTATATAGTATGTGAACTCTAGCTACTTCATAATTGCTTCGATAATGAATTCAAATCATTAAATCGTTACTAAGAATAGCAATTCTGCGCAAATAATGAAGCTCTCGGCGGTCAATTATCGCATCCATTGCTCCCCTACTTGGACAATAAACGTCCATATTAAGATGAACGAACTAAAAAAAACAATGGGAAATTGTCTGGTAGAGGAGACACGCTTACCTTCTTCAAAATGCTGGGTATTTCACTGGCCACGGTAGGAACATCGCCGCTAGAAAGAGCGAAATCGATCCCTCTGCAAGCGCAAACAACGCGAATAGGTCACACAATCGCCTCCCGCGAAACGGCCTCGGTAGCCGGCCATAAACCCTAACAATCACAAGAAGGGGAGGGAGGGAGGGGGGGGGCGAAGCCGGGAACCCCTGGGCGGCGTACCTGGCGAAGGCGTAGACGAGGTGCGCGAGGTCGGGCGGCTCGAGGACGGTCCCGCCGCCGCCGCGGAAGTGGGTCCTGAGGCGGTCCCCGATCATCACCAGGCGGCGCGCGTTCATCGCCACCGCCATCTGCTGCTGCTGCTCCTTGCCCTGCGGCTGCGGCTGCTGCTGCTGCGATGGCGGCGGCGTGGGGGGCAGCGGCGCCGCGCTCGCCATGGCCCCCACCGGAGAGGCAGCGGAGGCGGCGGCGGAGGCGAGCGAGGGAGGGAGGGAGGAGGGTGCGGCGGCGAGAGAGTCGGTGGCGCAGCGTAGTTTCCTCTTTTGGGAATTTGGATGGATGCTCGGCTCGCTGCTGCTACGGGGGAAGACGAAAAGAAAATCTTTTTTTCCTCTCGACGGCGAAAAATGTTGTAATGGGATACGGTTGGCCTTGAACTTATAGGTGGGAAATTGCGTAATGTTCGTTTATAATAAGGTGTTTAATGTTGTTTGTCAAGTGATTTATGGGTTTAATAGTTAGGCTTACATTTTAATCTATACGTAATAAAAAAAATACGTAAAACTTCCGTTACTATTTTTTTTCATCACACGGTTTTTTACGTTGGTTGTGTTTTTTTATCCAGTATATATAGTCAGATTTATCTTTTTATCAGCGAGTTCGTTTCTAAGCGATCTTATGAGCAATTTAGTTGTAAAATAGTCGTTGAAATCAAAGAGTTGGGGTAATCGATATGTAAAATGCGTATTTTCCATGTTAGAATTGATGTTTAAGATAATTAGTAGTGTGGTACTTTTGTTTTACTTTAAGAGAGTAACTGAGTATGTCTACGTAAAGACATGTTAGAATAGATGAAACCAAGTTTGTTATTTAACTCAACAATGTAGTAAGTTGTAGCCAATTGGTTGTTATAGTTTTATTCATTTTGCATAAATGCATGTAGATATCGATTCTTTAGTTATTCACTAAAATTATGGTTCTCGTGTGCAACATTGACACCAAGAATTAAAAATTGCTCTTTTATCACTCGAGCTGTATTTTAGACGTGCTCAAGGGTCATACTGGCTTTTCCTACACTAAGCTATTAGTCCTTTTGTTTATATCATGATCTTCCATATGACTTTATAACTTAATTAAATATTTTTATGAACTATAATTCAAAAACATAGCTTGTTGTACACCACAACTAAGAAACGTCATGTACGAAAACAATCTTATTTGTCACATAAAACTTGCTACCAATAACTGCGATGACACCAATCGGTGAGTCATATTCAAGCACACCAGGCTCTTACCCTAAAAATAAGTCATGTGGGGTTTTAAAAACCGCTTGATAGTTTGGCACCATTGTAATATTAACGGCTAGTGAATAGTGCAACAACTAGTACATTTGCGACTTGTGATATTTTGTTGCCTTCTCTACATGTAAAAATCTATGCGACATTATACATTTTATATATTGCCATTGTGTATCCATGTAAATCTGGAGTAGCAGTTGACATCTTCTCGGTTTGTTTGACAAATAGGTTTAGAAAAAAAGATATTTCCAACCATACAAGGGTAAGGTTCAATCCTAACCATTCATTCATTTCACCTCGTTTAATCCTAACCATCTACTCATTTCTATTTTCCAATCCCACCTTTCATAACTTATTTGCCAAGCAAAGCCTAACCATTCATTCATCTCACATCATTTAATCCTAACCATTCACTCATTTCCGTTTTCCAATTCCACCTCTCGTTACCCATTTGCCAAGCAAAGCCTAACTTTTCGTTCATTTCACCTCATTTAATCATAACCATCCACTCATTTATATTTTCCAATCTCACATTTTATAACCCATTTTCCAGAAAAAAAAAGCCTATATGGTTAGACATCGATCCTCGATACTTTGTAATAATAGAAGGTTAGAGGCGATATGATATTCAACCATGCTCAACCCCTGGGACCCTGGTCATGGAGAGAGAGAGAGAGTTGCCTATTGCCATGGCATACAGATGGATACCTGCAGCAAAAAGATCCAAAACTCTAGGCGATTACTCCCTCCGCCCCCCCCCCCCCCCCAAAAAAAAGAAGAAAAAAAATCTAGATAGTAACAGCACAACACAATGAATCTAGACATCCCATCTTCTAGGTTGCCTTTTTTTTGGACAGGCAACATAGTACAACGAATCTAGACATCCCATCCTAGGTTGCCTATCCTAGGTTGCCTTTTTTTTTTTGGGACGGGTAAAGTACTAGACATTGCTAAGAATTTCGCTAGCAGATTGTAATGCTCAAGATGAACGACAATTTCCCATTCCGTATAAAAATCATTATGGATTCCTTTGAAACATCGCAGGAATTTTCAAATTCTGAAAAAAAAAACCCTCCAAAATTCATTCAATCAAAGAAGCCATGAAACTTGAGAGGCTCCAATAGCTTTGTTGTTTGGTTGATGCAATTTCCCAACTGCTCAACCCCAACAAGACCTTGTCTGGATAACGAAGATAATCAGGCTTATTCACTACGCCCTCCGTCCCAAATTTCTAGGGATGAATCTAGAGAAGCACTAGCACAGATTCATCCCCAGAACTTAGTTTTTTCTAGGACTGGACGTGGCAATTTAACATTTAAACAACCATTCAGAATGTTCCATGGCTATAGTATCAAGGAGCCATTCAAATGGCCACAAGACTCCATCAGTAAGTAAACACAGTACAAATGCTACCGTCATAGACAAGATGCAAACAGTTCCAGCAAGTGTAAGTAAATCAGGGGTAACAAAGGGGATACTAGTCAATGGCATGTCATCACTGGTAACTAGCTAAACATGAAAAACAAGTCCATGCTTACCTAAACAACTAGTTTAAACAAGCAAGGGTAAATCGCCATCCCACAGCGAGGACGACGACTTTTGCCTCTTCTGTTTGGTATCCGAATCATTATATTCGAAGATAATAAATAGCCTACAGGATTGGGCATGACTTCACCCAAGTACCTAGCCAAGCTGGGAAAATATTTAAGCTTACCAAAATGCTTGTTTAAAATGGCAATGACAAAGCACCTATCACATAGATAAAGACACTTAACTATCAGCTGCTGGGTAAAAAGTTACCATTCTATGCAATCAGCATCAGTAAAAGACTTCAGCTAATCAGTCAGTCCCTTTCAAAGGCACACTTTACAGGTGAATGGCATACAGCATTGAACAAAATCTACATGAGACTAGTAGTTTCCCTATGCCTACCCATTGACAGATATTCTGGTTTCTGACTTATGTAGCAGATCAAGAAGAAATAAGTAATCCATGTTAAAGAAGGCTTCCAAGTATGGTTTTTGCCGAACAGCCGAAGTATGATCTTCTTTTCAGCAGGAATAACGGCAGGACAGATTTGCATCAGACAGTGAAAACACAAAGGTACGCAGGTCGACATTTTTCAACAGTGTCATGCGCACCAAAAATCTTCCAATAACAAGTTTGGAGGAGTACTCCATCACAATTTCTCAGTTCACATTAGTGGGAATCTGCCTAAATAATATTAATTTTTATCTTCCTTGGTGGAGTTCCAGGTTTTGACATATTTCCGGTTCCTGCTTTTCCTTTCTTATCAGAAGGCTTAAGGATCTGGAATGAGCATGTAAGAGAATCATCAATGCTCATCATCGCCCCCGCATTGTCAAACTCGCCACAATAGTTGGGTGCAGAGAATATGGTTACAAGCTGGCGCTTAGCAAAGAATTCATAGCCATCCTCCACAACCTGTCAGAGAAGATCCCAGCACAAAGCAGTGAGTGGTAAATAAAGACAATCGCTCAATAATAACAATAATAGTTCACTACAGCAGAGATTCACTGAGAAAAGATGCATGTATTTATTTCAGCTTATATCCAAAAACAAATTGGAATAAACCAACATATTTAATTTTCCTTACACTAGAAAAGGGAGGAATCAGTATTTGTAACAAGTAATTGCATGGAGTAGATTGAATTATAGAAGAAATTTGACTGAAATTGATTTAGAATATTTTAACCAAATCTGTAATGCTGAATTTCATTGGCCTCAACAAAACGAATGGAGCAGACAATAGACAAGGATGAGAACAAAATGATCATCTAATGCATCCAATATCAATGGGAAGTTCACCCCAAGCAAGGGCATGTATGTAGTTAGAGGTTTGAACATGATTTGCAGCACAATACAAAATATCTCATGCAATGTTGACGCCGATAAGAGAATTACTGTGTGGTGATTGCCTAAGTGTAGTATACAAACTACACACAGATGTACAATAGAAATTCTCCATTTCTTTTTCAATAAACTACAGAACCATAAGTTAGGGGATTTTTAATAAAATGGAGAACATGCTTTTGTTGTATAACTCAAGAGATGGATGAAAATCATTTAATCAGATATTGAACAGTTCTTGATACAGCAGATAAATACTTTAGAAACATCAACTCATGTCACAATTAAATATGCACTTTCAAGTCCAATGAAATGATAACGAACTCACAGGGGAAAGACCACTGTTACTTGCTTGAAAATCGTACAAAAAAATTACCATCAAAACATACCTGGTGAGCCCTGCAGATCAGATCTAGATCATGTGTCTGGAGAAACTCAGCGACCTTATCAGCTCCAAAAGTGTATGATACACCCCTGTCATTCTCACCCCAACCTTCGATTTCTTTATCTGGGTCTGACCACAACAGATCACACAGGAGACCATGGTCTGGAACATCAACTGGGCGGGCAATGTTGCGAATCTGGTCCATGTTCTTTAGGTCAGGAGATAAACCCCCATGCATGCATAGGATCTTGTCATCAATAAGTGCAGCCACAGGGAGGCAGTTGAAACAATCAGTAAAAACCTTCCAAATACGAACATTAAACCTCCTTTTGCATTCATCAAAGAATCCGTAGATTCGGTTGATAGATGCGCACTCATGGTTTCCCCTAAGGAGGAAGAAGTTCTCTGGGTACTTAATCTTATACGCAAGGAGAAGACATATAGTTTCTATACTCTGTTTCCCACGGTCAACATAATCACCTAGAAACAAGTAGTTTGCCTCTGGTGGGAAGCCCCCATACTCAAATAACCGAAGAAGATCAGAATACTGGCCATGGATATCTCCTGTCAATGAGTAAGTAGGCAGAATGATGGTAAGCATGATGCAATCACATTCTACAACATGTTACAAATTGTTTATAGTTAGAACAAGAAGTTTTAGCGTATTTGTGATAGGTGCTTAGTATCTTGGTATGAAATTTCTTCATGCCACACTTGAACAATGATGTGCTGTAGACAAAGATAATTCTATGAAGGTGCATCAGGATATTTTTTTTGTTCGGGGAAATTTTATTTGCCTCTATAGCATGTACTGCAATTTTAAAACATATTCTTGTCTCCCAAGCGCTAACAAAAGATAATGTGGCTAAAGAATTGTGAAGACATATAAACACAGTTTCTTCATTATAACAATAAAACTAGCCTGAAGTTTGACACTCTGAATCAACCTTCAGAAATTCTGCGGTATTCTCATTGAAACTAGAAATTTCATCGGCAAGTCAAAGCAAGGAAGATATAGATTAATCATATTCTGTTGACAATCTGCCCTGACCCCACCCAAAAGAGGACAATTCTGCAATCCAAGCCATATCAATCATCATCAAGATTCAAGTTCAACAACTACGAAAGCAATATAAATCTTCCCCAAAAGAATCAACATCCTAAAATCACCGGTGCTGTTTATGACAACAAAAATTCGAAGAACACCCAAGTCTAAGCGCTTCGAACCATAAATACACCTCGAATTAGCATCAGAAAACACACCAAATATTTTCCCAGACACGCAGCGTTATCACTCAGGCGACCGCACATACCGCAAGAACAACACAACCCGAGGAGACCGACCCTTCTCGCTAGGGTTTTGCGGCGGGGAGGGGAGGGGGTAGAAGCAGCAGGCCTCACATACCGCAGATTTTGATGGGGGCCTCGAGCTCGAGGAGGTTGGGCTGGGAGAGGAAGACGTCCTTGGCGGCGGCGCAGAGCTTGCGGATCTCCGCGTCGGCGAGCTGCGCGGGGCGCGCCGTGCGGCCGCCGCGGGCGTCCAGGAGCCGCCGGATCAAGTCGTCGAGCGCCGCCGCATCCATCGCCGGTGGAGAGAGAGAGAGAGACCCAAAAACCCTAGCAGCGAGTCGCCGCGAGCGATGGCGAGCGAGAGAGGCAGCTAAACCCTAGCTTTTTGTTTTCCTTCGATCGGCGGAGACGAGGAGGAGGAGGAGGGAGAGCGAACGGAAAAAATCGGGTGTGAATTGCGACGCGTACCCGATGGTTTGTACCAGGGAAGGGGTGGGGGTGGGCCCGTGGTCGAGAAAGGGAAAGGCTGGTCAAGGTGCATTGCATATGGGTCAAGGAAACTTGTTTGAAGGGTCCCTTCTGGTTTGAATAATGGGGCCTGAGAATCAACCTTTTCGATTTTATGTGCTTTGTTTTGATTCTAAGGGCACGTTTAGTTCGCGAAATGAAAATTTTTGGATATCACATCGGACGTTTGACCGGATGTCGGAAGGGGTTTTCGAACACGAATGAAAAAACTAATTTCATAACTCGCTCGGAAACCACGAGACGAATTTTTTGAGCCTAATTAATCCGTCATTAGCACATGTGGGTTACTGTAGCACTTATGGCTAATCATGTACTAATTAGGCTCAAACGATTCGTCTCGTGATTTCCCCCCTAACTGTGCAATTAGTTTTTCATTTTATCTATATTTAATGCTTCATGCATGTGTCCAAAGATTCGATGTGATGTTTTTTGGAAAAACTTTTGGGGAACTAAACGGGGCCTAATGAGGTTGTGTTTAGTTCATACTGAAGTTTGGAAGTTTGGTTGAAATTGGTACGATGTGATAGAAGTTGTGTGTGTATGAAAGATTTGATGTGATAGAAAGTTGGAAGTTTGGAGAAAAAAACTTTGGAACTAAACAGGGCCTGAGTATAGTCGCTTTTATAAATCTACTATAAACCTAACAGTCTACTAGTGTAGTGTAATTGGCTCTAGCTAAATTTGTTTATCTTAACTCATCTAACTTACTCACGGGTAGAGACCGGAGATGTAATCTATTTCCATTATCAAAAAAACTAATGTAACTTGCTTATTCACCTTATTTAGCACTTCAGTGAACTTCCATCATATTTTGTGTTATCAAATGAACCAAAAATAAAAAGGGCGAGCCCTTGTTCGGCACGGCAGCGAGTTGGCGTCTGCGAGCAAGTGGAGTAGCAGGTATGGAGTCGCAACACGATGTGTAGGCGCATAAGAGAAGGGTAATAATAGAGCCCACTTCCTACTATTAGCTTATCTTAAAGCCAATATATATAATAAATTAGCTATAAAATTGGCTACAATTTTCTTTTTATCTCTATATCTCTCAGTTATACATTTAATGCATTTGTCTTGGACCTTGTGATAAGCTAGCTCTTGCATGAAAGCCAGTATCCTTAATTTTTCACTATCTCTCTTCTACACTAAATTTATAGTAGGTTTAAAGCTCACTATTATACTTGCTCTAAGCAGTGAAGGGGATCAGAGGCTCGGAGCGCGTGCAAGTGGGAGCGACGTCGCGCTACTAGTGACGCTCATTTTCTTTTTACCGGTGGTTAGCATCCCTATTAGTTTCCTTGATTTTAATCGCTAAAACTGAAAATCGCTGCCCATTTTACCTGAACGGAAGGAGGAACAAGATATTTGAGTTAATTTTAGGGCTTTTTGGTCTTTTAGTGTACGATTTTTTTTTAACATGCTAACGTGATGGGAGTTCTAAGATTTGGAAATCTCTAACGGGTAGGAAAAGGAGCAAGTTATAGTGCTATTTTTGTTTTGGTACCGGGACAAAACCTGTGCTACCAATATTTTCTCCTTAAGAAAGGCTCTTTTTTGCATTTTGACGAACACTGAAGAAACATTGTAGGATGTCATTAGCCAAATCAAAATTTTAAGTAGGTCTCACTTGATTGATTCTACTCTAGATATGCCTAATATGCAAATTGGTGATTCTAATAATTCTCATAAATTAATGTCATTCATTTTTTATTTTAAATTCAACCAAATGTATCACTACATTGAGTGATCATGTTGTTTGATGAAATTTTGTCATTCTGAACTAAGCAAGCGAGATTATTATTTAGCTAAGAAGCTAACTTGTTGTTTTGCATGAAATGCATGGGCCATGCATTACTGTGCACATCATATCTAGCCAACCATATATATGACTCACATGCAGTCTGCTATGTATATGTGTGTGCCCAATATATACTGGTGCATGAGCCGGCAAACAAAGACTCGAGCGGCATGTGAGCAGCTTATACGCGAGCGCTCGTACGTGGCCTTATACCTGGTATACGTATACATGTACATATATATCAGATAATTTTCCCTGGACTCAAAGCAACGGCAAGCAAGGACTAGTGCTTGGGCCGCATATGGGCCGGCGGAGTTGCGCTGCATGCTCGTTGTACGTACGCGGCTGGATAACCACGCGTATACGCGTACATGAGGAGGATTTCTCGCCAACGGCAAGATACTGATGCGGAGATAACGTCAGATAACTCAGTCCTATCTGGTCATCTCGATGATTCAAACAAGAGTAATCCGCAGCAACTAAACCCGGAAGAGTCGGATCGATCTAACGCTCGGCCGCGGTGGCGCCGAGGGATTCGCAGTGTGGGTTAGGGCTCCCTGCGCCTGTAAAAGGAGACCATCACTACACAGGGCTCACACGCACACAGCCATTTCACTCCTCTCTTCACACAAAACCATTTCGCTCTTCTCTACACACACATTCATCACACACCATCGAGCACCACAACATCGCCATTGATCCTTCCGGCATCCACGAGCTCGTCCACTTCCATTCACCACACGTCCAGCCGTCGGTGTGACTTCGCCGGAGCAGCAGCCGCGCTGCGCACTTCGCCGGAGCAGTACACGCGACGTCAGCATCGGCGTCCATCACGCCGGTGTCCGGCAGGGGGACGCGTACCTGTCCACCGTCAACCATCGCGAGGAGAAGGACCATGGCTGCACAAGGTAAATGCTACTAATCAAATTTTATTTGCAGTTCACGCATGCATGAGATGGCGACGAGACGAGAATGTCGGAGCACCGCTGGACGGTGCCCGCACGCCGTCGTTGAGTCTGCCGAGTCATGTAAGTGCTGTTCGTCGGACTGGAGAGCAAGTCGCCGTTCGTTGTCATGTCCGGACGAAGGGCCTCGTCATGCTACCTCGCCGGAATACTCCGCCTCGACATCGTGAACGCCGCCCACGGAGCCATGACGCCGCCCTCGCCGGAGTCGCCATGCCGAACGCCTCGCCGACCGTCTTCGGCGGTGTTGTCATCTTCCTCACGCCGTGGCGCCGCCGGAGCACGGGCCATCCTCGCTTGGCTGGTGGCGACTTCCACCTCACAGCGTCTTCATCAGCGCGCGTCATCATCCTCCTCACACGCGCTGTCGTTGAGTCCGGCCACACCATCCTCCACCTCGTCGAGATTTGCTGGGTTAACCCAGAGAAGGCCATCTCCGTGCCGCCTAGCCAGAGCATGTTGAGAATCATCAGAACCGCCGGAAACGTCGTCAAGCTGCCGTCATTGCCGTCGTCGTGGTGCCGAGGCGTCTTCAAGCCGTGCTGTTCTGGCCCGCCGATCGTCATCGGTACAGGAAGAAGGAGGCTGTCGGGGCGGTCTTGAACGTCGCCGAACTGCCCTAACCTGAGTCCTATCAGAGCCGTCGCCAAGCCGCCGCTCTCGTCTACACCGCCAGGCGATGGAGATCGCTGCCCATGCGATCCCGCTGGAGGTCGCCGGCAAGCCATCGTCGTTACGTCGGTCTCCGCTCATGCCGTCTCTATGGAGCGCCGCTGTTAGCCGGGAGGCCATGTCATCCACTTTGTCGACGACGCCCTGACGCTCGTCAAGCCACCGGTGACGCCGTCGTGCCATCATCGCCGCACCACCGCCAAACTCCGAGCATGTCTCGTCATTGAGACTCCACTGACCGGCGACGCTTTCACGCTCGTCGCGGTCCCTGAGGCGCTGCCGATGTTCACCTGATCGCGCTTGACGGCGCTGCCTCCTCCTCCACGTGTTCTCCGTTGCTGTCGTTGCCGGCGCCATGTCATTCACAGTGCCGCGGGCTGCCGTAAAGCCAATGGCCAAGCCTGCAGAAAAGCACGTCATCTACAGTAACTACGGCAAAAATCATCACACACTAGTGTTTCACGTGTGCATGCATGCCACTGTGTGCACAGTGACAAGCAAACCAAAATGGCTTATTGCTAAGCTATACTCATTTGGCCATGAGGATGTGTATCGTTATACACTAATTTCTCAAGTGCAAGAACAGTTCGGTGGTCTGCATAGACCATCTCTGTCCAAGCTATGCGATTCCATGCATGTCTTCTTCAAGCAATCTACACCAACACGTCGTTCAAGACTGACGAGGCTAGACGACGGGGGCGGGCGAAGCCGACGCGAAGGCTACGTCACCAATATCGGCGCACGGACCGACGAGGCCGTGGACCGCTGCCGGCGCCCACATCTACATCACCATCACAACCATGCATGGAGAATGCGAAACGAAGACGATGAGATGACCACTAGCAGCTTAATCGGAGGTTCTCTTGCAGGCCTAGACCTACAGAGGTAATTAACCGGGAGCTTTTTGAGGCCCCGGGAACCAGGAGACCACATCGCACAAATCTGTCCAACGACAGGTTATTAAGCGCGTATCATTATATGGGAATTTGTATTTATAATCCTTGAGATTAATAAAGCGCATGTTCCCTATGTTTTGTTTATTGTGTACTTAGTTACACTGGCACACATGCACATATACATATCTCTAAACATAGAGATCATAGGCGTTATTTTTCACCCTAAACACATTTTCCACATAAATACCGTCAGATGGATAAGACCATAACATTATAATCTTTCCCAATATCATATTTTCATACTGTATAGTATGTATATGAATATTAACTGCATGCCTTTTTTTTCCGTAGTGACATCCCAACACAAGTTGTTTCGAAAAAGTGAAACCCGTGCTTTCTTATGTTTTCTTCCTTTAACAATAAATCAAAACAAGTGAATTTAATTTGTCTATTTCCATAGAATAAAGAACATATGCATATAATGTATGGGTACCATTCCCAATCAAAGACATCAAATTTAGCTCAATGGTTGGTCACTTCGAAAAAAGTCATGTAAACTTTAGCTAAACATTAAACCTAAAAATTCCGTTTGCTGAAAAAAAACAGAAGAAAAACGAAAACAAATAAGGGTGTGTATAGTTTTTTTGGGTGTAAAGTTTTTAAGTATACGGACACACATTTAAATTATTAAACGTAGATTAATAACAAAATAAATTACAGATTCCGCATGTAGACTGCTAGACGATTTTATTAAGCCTAATTAGTCCGTCATTAGCAAATGTTTTTCCGCATGTAGACTGCTAGGCGAATTTATTAAGCCTAATTAATCCGTCATTAGCAAATGTTTACTGTAGCATCACATTGTCAAACCATAGCGTAATTAGGCTCAAAAGATTCGTCTTGCAATTTACATGGAAATTGTGCAATTGGTTTTTTTTCATCCACATTTAATACCCCTTACATGTGTCCAAACATTTGATGTGACCTTTTTATAAAAAATTTTTGCAATCTAAACAAGGGCCGTGTTTAGTTTCCCCTATTCCCAACTTTCCATCACAACCAAAACTTTCCTACACACATAAACTTTTAACTTTTTTTTCCAAACTCCTAACTTTTTTTTAAACTTTTAATTTTTTTCAGAAACTAAACACCTAAAACCTAACAGTATAACACGGCATACATAGATGTAACCTTGGAAGAACTCTTCAATGCCGTGAGCTCAGCATCCTCAAAATCCACGCACAACCGAAAGCAAAACATAAATGCAACCCCCCGCGCGGCGGACGAAGAAGCGAGGAAGAAGAAAGAAAACCGCAAAAAAGCCACAAACACCCAACGCGTCGGCGTCCACTCCCTCGCTCGCCCGCTGGATGACACACGGCGACGAATACACGAAACCACTGCGAGACCGCGCGCGCACCCCGGAAGAAGCAAAAAAAGAAAAAAAAAAAGCTGGCGAAACCCGCAAAAAGGCCTCCCAAAACCAAAAAAAACCCGCACGAGACGAGACGAGACGAAGCAAGCGACGCGCGTGCGTGTGCAAGCCACCCACCTCCCTCTCGTCCTCAGCTCGGGCAGAGCGAGCAGCAGCGGAAGCAGCAAGGCATGGGCGCAACACTAAAAAGAAGCGGCCGCACCTCCCCAAAACCACCACCACCTCCACCTCCTCCTCTTCACCTTCTTCTCTTCTCCTCTCCACTTCTCCCCACCACCACCACCACCTCGATCGCATCCTCCGTTCTTGGCTGCGGCGCGCGTGGAGGAGGAGGAGGATGGACGAGCAGCGGGGACGCGGGGGGTTCGACGAACTGGTGCTCTTGCATCAGCAGCAGGAGCAGCGGAGGCGGAGGGAGCAGCAGCAGGAGGAGGAGGAGGAAGAGGAGGTGCGGCGCCAGATGTTCGGCGCGGTGGTCGGTGGGCTAGCCGCGTTCCCTGCGGCGGCGGCGGCTCTGGGACAGCAGCAGGTGGACTGCGGCGGGGAGCTGGGCGGGTTCTGCGACAGCGAGGCGGGCGGGTCGTCGGAGCCGGAGGCGGCGGCGGGGGCGCGCCCGCGCGGGGGATCCGGCAGCAAGCGGAGCCGCGCCGCCGAGGTGCACAACCTCTCCGAGAAGGTTGGCGACCCCGGCTTTTTTTTCTCCGCACACGTACGCTGGTGAATAAGCGTTCTTCCTGCTTCGCATCCTTGTGATTTACTGTTGCTTTTTTGGTTTTTGGGCGCAGAGGAGGAGGAGCAAGATCAACGAGAAGATGAAGGCATTGCAGAGCCTGATACCGAATTCCAACAAGGTGATCCGTCGCAAAAAGGCGACGTTTAATTTTAACGTTCATGAACTGGGATTCTGTTGGGTTTGCGCTGGAAATTTATCAGTGTTTGTGTGCTGGTTTTGTGGGTTGCAGACTGACAAGGCATCCATGCTTGACGAAGCCATCGAGTACCTGAAGCAACTGCAGCTCCAAGTGCAGGTCAGCAGATAGATCATAGATGTCTGGATGATGCTAAAAATTGCTGATGCATTGAGTTTGGTCTCAGATTGGTAGAAATGTGGTTGTAGGATTGCAGTGAGTGCATCCTGTCTTACAGATTATTCTTCCAATCTATGTCGTGATTAGGGTGCGCCGTAGATGCTCTAGTGAAGAAGAATCCTTATACTTTCTTGTTCTTGCAGGATTTTAGTTGCGATGTGATATGTTCATGCAAGATGTTAGAAGGGTCCACTATGTACATAGACAACAGTACTTGATCAATGCCAAACTCGTTCTGTCCCTTAAGTAAAAGTTATACCATTATTACATTGGGTGCCAATTTAAGCTCAAACCTCTTTGGCCTCAGTGCTTGTTTGTCAAGACTTATTCTTTTTAAAAAAATAAAAAAAGGAAAAAGGAAAAAAAAACATAATCATATCAACTTGCTTGACCCCATCTCGTCATGACGAGCAATAAAACTAGTGGACTGTCAAGGCATGCAAACTCTGCAAAACATGAATGGTGAGATATGGCTCATCCAATGTGGACAATTAAACATTTTGGAGCTACCTCTTGTTCTGCAGTACAATTGGGGATGGGCACAAAGCTGGTTTAACAGTATTTGCTTTGTCTAGTATGCTAAGTGTTACAGTATGCGGTAATATAGTCTGATTGCAAACCATGATTGCTGCCTTTTTTTAATACTTCACGATTTCACATGAACATAATCACTATGGGACTCTGCGTGGTAAGGTAACCATACTATTGGTTCATGTTAGGGGATTCTCCCCAGCACTTTACAAAGTGGTTTTTATACATTCAGTGAAAATTTTTTACTAAACCTGGTTGTTGACGACATTTAGGATTTTTACTGTTGACTTGCTTAGATTGACCATGAAGCTTGCTGGGCGTGCTGGTTTATACTAAGGCAAGGACTAGTTTCCTAGGGTGAATGTGTTTTGGAATCCACATCTATTGATTTACTATGCTGCTGGGTGTTAATAACTAAAAATTATATATATGAGTTTTTTCCTCTGAAATTTGTTACAGATGCTCTCAATGAGAAACGGTGTTTACTTGAACCCATCTTATTTATCTGGAGCACTTGAGCCTGCGCAAGCATCACAGATGTTTGCAGCCCTTGGTGGTAACAACGTCACAGTGGTGCACCCCGGGACAGTGATGCCACCAGTGAACCAAAGCTCAGGAGCTCATCATTTGTTTGATCCATTGAACTCTCCTCCACAAAATCAACCACAATCTCTAATCCTACCAAGTGTTCCTAGCACAGCCATTCCTGAGCCTCCATTTCACCTGGAGTCATCACAGTCCCACCTTCGACAATTTCAGTTGCCTGGATCCTCTGAGGTAATATAAGAGAAAAATTATCTGGACTTAACTGTTTGTATATATATGGTATTGCAGTTTCACAAGATTTTGTTTTTACATGTACTTTTATCTGTAAAAGATGGTGTTTCATGGAGAGATAATGCCAAAGCACCACCTATCATCACATCAAGAAAGTCTGCCAGGTTTGTGACACTATTTTTAACTAGCTTTTGTCAAGATTTCTGTTCATTTCACTAACACACACACACCCCTTGTCTTTGTTCTTTTCGCTGACTTTTGTCTTCATCCTCTCAAAGGAAACGAGATGAACTCCATCAGGAAAGAATCATCCATGTTGAACACCAATAATTTTGATGGTGTCTCACTTAGCAAAGAGCAATCATAGGATATGGTACCAAAAAGTACAAGACATGCATAGGTATGCTTCTACAATGTCAAATCAAAATTTTCAAACAATCTGAGCTTTTTTACTAAAAGTTGGATTTGTGGTACAACTTCATGATGGAAAATAATTCCTTGATTTGAACAAACTTCCTTGATTTGCTGGCATGTTATCTAGCATGTGTTTAGATCATGGATGTACAAATTTGAAAATTGTTGATATTCAGTATTTAGTCCTGGGCTTCCTCTAAATATGTTGTAGTCAAGAATGACAATGAGATGGTGCTTAAAAATGGAGTAGATCGACAGAAGTTTGTTGGCCTTATTTAATCTACTCCATGATTTTCATCGTACCATGAAAGAGCATATTTTTTCAGATAGGTGAACTACCCAATCTTGCTCAATAAAGTATTGTGCTACTTCAACACTCCTACTTCATAGACATTTGATAAGATAGTTCGGAAGAACAAATAAAATAATTTAACTCACTTCCTGACCTAATTTTGTTTCTTATCCTAGCATGTTCCACTATACCTAATGAAACCTTGACAAAGTTTTAGCTAACATTTTGTTTGTTTTGATCTCTTGACAGCTTAGGACGTGGTTGCTGGTGGCATTGAAATCAGGTGCGAAAGAAGGATGACGTGACCTAGTTCAGTAGTCTAACAGACAGGCAGACTTTCAGAATTGCTTACCTCTATCAATAGTGCTATTATTCTTGAAGCGACCTGAATGCTTCACAAAACTAGCATGTAATCGTAATCGTTTTAATGAAGTCCATTCGAAAACTAGCATATAGATGAGATCATGAGACCATGTAATCATCTACGAAATGTTTAGTGAAGAGCAGCACGAGCAAAGTCCTCTTTGTACTGGTCTAAGCATCTAGTAGCACTCCTGTGAAGGATCAGAGATTCACAGAATATAGTCGTCTACTGAAACTTTTTAAGACTGAAGAAATCTTCGTGGTCCCCCTTTTGTCAAATATTTTGAGCAATCATTGGTGGTCAGTTGGTCACCCACTTTCGACTCCATGAATTTCATCACATTTGTTTTAAAAATGCTCTTACCTTGAAAAAAAGAAGTCCATTTGGATCATGACAGTTTTCTTCGTATATGCAGAGATTGAATAATTTGATGTTCCATATTGTAACTACACGAGATCACTACAGTGTAAACCAAAGGAAGAGAAAAAAGGCTATGCAAACTAAACTTTTCTTATAAAACTCTTACAAACGATGATATGCCACAGTGTGATTAACCAAGATCAGTTTTCGGTCTAAATCACATTGTTTGTAAGAGTTTCATGTGCCACATTGGCACTGCTCTCAACCAAAAAAAGAGGCAAAAATTATTACTTCATTTATCTCAAAATATAATAACCTACAATCAGATGTAACATATCATAATCTTATAAATTTGAACAACCTTAGCCACATAGACCCATATTAGTGTAGAGGCCGGATTTTACCCATTGTCCAGAAAAAATAAATTTAAACAACATGTCCAAATTCATAATAATATATTCTACTTCCTCCGTTTCATAATGTAAGTCTTTTTAGCATTGTCTAAATTCATATAAATAATAAATCATCAATATGAATATAACCAATGCTAAAAAGTCTTACATTATGAAAAGAGGGAGTAGTATCATACGTTGCTGCTATATTACGAGACAAAGGATGTAAAATTTAAAAGAATCTCGTACCTGCTCCAGTAGTCGTGTCAATTTGGAAAATTGGAAAGCCGTGGGGAGATGAGGAGATGGAGGGGGGCGAGTGGGCGACGAACGCGACTGCGCACGGACGCGTCCGGGCGGGGCGGGGGCGTCGTCAACGTCGCGTCACTGCTGCGATCGCCTCCCCTCCAATCCTCCACAACAAAATCTCCTCCCGTATTTCCGATACATCGACAGCGCAACCACCACCACCACCATGCGCCGCGGCCGCCGCCGATGACGCCGCCTCCCACCACCCCCCTCCTCCTCCTCCTCCTCACCCACCACCTCACCGCCGCCGCCGCCGCGCTCCTCGTCCTCCTCGACCCCCCCGCCCCCTCCGCCCGCAAGCGCAGGCGCCTCGACGTCGAGGAACTGGACCCCGTTCCGCCTCCCTCGCTGCAGCCGGAGCCGGAGCCGCTGCCGTTGCCGCCGACGAGCCCGGACCACTACCCGCTCGCGTTCCGGGTGTCGGCGCCCACCTTCAACTTCCTCGCGGGCCTCCTCGACCCGCTCCTCTCCCACCCTTCGCTCCCGTCCTCGACGCTCCTCGCGCTCGCGCTCGCGCGCCTCGCCACGGGGTTGCCCTACGCGACGCTCGCGGCGCTCTTCCGGGTGCCCGCATCGGCGCCGCGCGCCGCCTCGCGCCGCCTCCGCCGCGTGCTCCTCGCGAACTTCCGATTCTGGCTCGCGTTCCCCGCCGAGCCGAGCAGCGCCGCCGCGTCCTCCCCTCTCCCGTCCTGCCGCGGCGCGCTCGCCTGCGCGCGCTTCGACGGCCCGGACGGGCCCCTCGCCGCGCAGCTCGTGGCCGGCGCCTCCTCCCGCGTCCTCTCCCTCGCCGCCGGGTTCCGCGGCGACCGCACCGATCTCGAGGTGCTCAAGCTCTCGTCCCTGTACCAGGAGCTGGAGCAGGGGAAGGTGCTCGACCACGGCCAGTACCTCGCCGGTGACGGCGACGGGTACCCTCTTCTCCCCTGGCTCATGGTGCCGTTCCGGGGGCCAGCGGTGCCCGGCTCGCCGGAGGCGGAGTTCAACGCCGCGCACGACGCAACGTGCCGCAAGGCGAGGCGCACGGTCCGGAGCCTGAAGGGATGGGGCGCCATCGCTCGCCTCCGTGACGAGGAGAGCCCTCGCGCCGCCGTGGCGTGCATCGGGACATGCGCAATGCTCCACAACGTGTTGCTCGCGAGAGAGGACCACTCGGCGTTGGCGCCGGAGGAGACCGACTTGCCGCCGGCGGTGCAGCGCCGGGCGGACGACGGCGACGCCGCCGGAGTGGAAGATCTCGAGATCCATAGGCGCGCATCGGCGTTTCGGGGCGCATTGGCGGCGACGATGAGACGCCGGTGACATGGGTGAATTGAACTGCCTAGCTCTCTGGTGATGAACTGATGATTGTTTAGCATTAGCAACGACAGATCTATGCAATTGTTGATTCTTTTGGATCAAATTGTTTGTATATTGCTAGCTGCTGAATTCCTGATTGTTCCATTGATCCCATTGGGTTCTTTTAGTTTGTTGCCTGCTGAATAAAATGGAGAAATAATTTGATGGAAAGTTAGGGGCCGTACCTACGAATTGGAGACCCCGATGCTAGATGAGAGATGCTATAAGTACGATTCTTTTACAAACGATGCTTGTACGGCGTAATGGTTCTCTCTTAAGGCCCATAATTTGGCTTTTTTCCTAATAAACCAAAACGGCTTATTAGGGAATAAAAATAAATTTATAGGTAAAACTTATATTTATATATATATATATATATTCTTGGTGACTTAAAGGCTAATACTAAAAAAAACTACGTTGAAAATATCTCAAAATCAATCTCAAAATTAAGTTTGAATTTTTAAATTTGGCTTTTTCTTTAGCTTATTAGGCCATCCGATGGGAGCCTTAGCCCGTGACATTTATTGTCTGTTTCATAGTGAAGCAATTCATATCATTCACCATCTGTTCACAATGTAGGATCGTACGTAGAAATCGGATGAGGCTTTACGACATGTCATTGGCCATGTCTATCTGACTTTACGTCAGAAGAGCTCGCTCCGTAGAAATCATATGCATTGTGCTAAATCTTTAAAAGACATTATGTTTAGAAAATATCATTTAAACAAGGGACAATTGTAAAATAGTAGATTTCACTATATAGACTATATAATGGACTAAACCTCCACAGTAAACCGAGGCTATAACAGGTTCACATACTCTACCATAATGATACTAACATTACAAACACTGACGTATAGCACAATAGAAGAGTGAGACTCACGTATCAGTAACTGTAATAGTGATAACATTATGGTGGAGGATCCTCTCACCCGGCTATAATCACTTTACATTAAATGCAATATATTTTACAATTCATTTGAAAGAGGACCCAACGTTGTGTTTTGCTCGTTTGATGATCTTCTATCTATATTAAAAGTCCTACTATGTGACTAATAATAACGAATAGAGTTATATGAAAAAACACAACAAAAACATATGGTTGACTAAGAAATCTTAGCAAGAATATCTTCGAAAAATCATTATATGTATAGAAAAGAATCTTCAATAACTAAAACATGCATTTATATTGTTGTCATAAGCTATGGGTATTTAAGAATAAGTATGTTTTAGCTGATCGGTGGTGAAGAAGTGAAACTTACTAAGTAGAAAATAGGATAAAAATAACCTTAAATATATTAGAATTAGATTAAAACCAAAACTCATGATGGAAGTGGATGCATTTGCAGAGACCAAAGTAGGAGAAAAAAATGTCAATTAGATGCGTAATTAAACAGAAACTTCGGAGAGAGCAAGTCTCCTCTGCTCTTGCTTCCGGAGTTGGCGTCTCGGACGGCAAGGTTCGAGCTATCCTGTTGTTTTACAAAATGCCCCCTGATTCATGTCTATACTCTATACCAATTCTCTTATTTTTGCAAAATAACCCCTACTAGTTCTATCGGTCCTGCTATTTTGCAAAGTAGTCCTCCTCTCTTCCGCCTCGTCCCCGTCAAACCCTTGCCGGCGGCGGCCGCCGGCCGGAGAGGCGGATGGCGTCGTCGATCTCCTGCGCGCGGCCCTCGCCCGCCGCCGCTTCATCGCCTCTAGCTCCGGCAGCCTGACGTCACCGTCCCTCCCCTCCTTGGATTGCAGCAGTAGGCTAACAAGATCATGAAACGAGCTCCCCCTCCACCCCACATTCCGGCGATCCCCCCCACCCTACCTGACCTAGGCCAATGAGAGTATCGTCCCCGTGCCGTCGGTGAACGGCGGAGTAAGATTCGCCGGCGAGGTTAAGTATTGTTCCTGACTTTCTTCTTCCAAGGTGACAGCCTCGAGAAGCTGTCCCCATTGAATCCATGTTACTGCTACCCAACAAATGTGGCTGGGTGATGAACAGAAACAGTGTTGGCGTTTTCTCGATTAAGATGAGATCAGTGCGGGTTCAAGGTGTGAAAGCGGAGGATTTGAAGATGCAGTTATTCAGCTATTTTTTCCTTGCATGATCTTCTGATTCAGGTAATCCCTTTTTCCTTGTTTGTTTTTCCTAGTTTTTGTCTTGTGTTCATTGGGATGTGCTTGATTGGGCTTCAATCATGCCAAAATTAGAGGTAGAGTGTACGTTATGTTCCATTGCAAGATGGAGTCCACACTCCACAGCATTCTGTACTTTGTGTTATAAAAGCTGGAAGCTTAGAATTCATCTCTTCAATTCTGCATTCTGTTTGATGAAGCAGCTTTTAAGTTACAAAGTTGCAGTACATATCTGACAGGGCCAGTTTAGTTTGACTTTTCAGCTGTTTCCTTCTATTAGAGGAAAAGAAAATGTTTTGTATAGCTGCTATGTTATTTAGCTTGTTGTCTGCGCCATAAATTCCGTAATAAGAATTTGGGCTTCTTTTGTAACAGATTATTTACATATTTCAGGCCCCACTTGGAACGCCGGGAATTTCTTTTTTCAGTTCCAGTTAAATTCCTATTGTTAAAACGAGGCCTTCAGTATGCAATAGATTTGCTGGTTAGGATCCAACCTTTCACTCCAAGGAAAAAAATTATAAGCATATACTGGAAACAGAGGCATTTTACCACTACATGTTTAATTAGAACTGGGTGTTCATACAAGTTGGTACGATTTTTACACGTAGGGATAAGAGAATGCTCTCGACAACATTTCTAAGGGCTCTTATTCAACTAGTTAAAGCACATCACCTAGCTGGGAGCCATGAAAAATGTCACCTAGATAATTACAGTGCTGGCCATTATTCCACCAGTTAAAGCAGATTTTGAACCACTTGGCTCATGCTTGGTCTTTGGCTCCTCTCCTCTTCCACGCATGAAACTGCTATCTTTAACATCTTGACTGCTTGTGAATAATTAAACTCTCCTTCCAGTCTGCCATCAACAAACTCCAAGAGCCATGACTGATCTTCGTTTACCAATTTCTCTTTGAGAATATCAGCAGTGCGTTTAACGCCCAGTTCCACCTTCTCACCCTCAACCATCCATCTTGAAACCCGAATCCCCTTCACTAACTCAAGAAGCACAACTCCATAGCTGAAAACATCAGCCTTGCCTGTGATCGGAAGATTTAGAACCCATTCTGGTGCAATGTACCCTCTAGTTCCATGCACTCTTGACAACATTAGTGCAGTTCCTTGCTTAAGTAGTTTGACCAGTCCAAAATCTGCAATCTTTGGCTCAAAGTCTTTATCTAACAATATGTTTTCTGGTTTGATATCGCAGTGTACGATCCATTCAAGACACTCATGGTGAAGATATGCCAGTCCTTTTGCTACGCCAATTGCAATATTGTACCGTTGGTTCCATTTTAGCAAAGGAAATAAGTTCTGATGGTCAAACACAAGTCTGTCTAAAGAACCATTCTCAATGTACTCAGAAACCAAGAGCCTACTTGTCTTCTCTGCACAGAACCCCCAAACTCTAACCAGATTCATATGATATATTCTTCCTATGACACTTAGCTCAGACCTTAACTCCTGCTCTCCATAGATCACATCATTTAGCTTTTTCACTGCAACCTGCCTTTCATCATCGAGGACTCCCTTGTAAACCACACCTGATCCACCATTCCCGCTCTTCCTGAAAACAATTGGTTGCCTTGTGTAACTCCTTGTAGCTGAATCTTCGGAATTGGCTAGAAATGATCATGTAACCTTCGTCAGTAATCTCTGATATTGTCTCCCATTTTTTAACAACTGAAAAGCCAGCAACAATTAAAACCACTTCAATCAAAAGCACTGTTAACAGAGAAGAAAGGAAGTAACCAAACATGAACTTGGATGGGACATCTTCGAGCATTTGTGATGAAGGGTAGGCTAATTTTTCAGTAACTCCACAAGAATGGGTTAGTCTAGAATCTGATTCTTTGGTAAACGGCACCCCCTTAGGAACTTTCAGGTAGATGTCATTGTAAGGATCTGGGAAGCTCCTGCCATTGAAAAGCGTGTACTTTGGGTAACATAGGCCAGTTCTCCTTCGGTAACCGAAGGCTTGGCATTTAGCGTTGGCCAGGCACATATTTCTACAGTTTGAGAACGGCACTGACTCTGCGTAGTCCATGTCATATCCCCAGAAGTCAGTTCCAGTGTTCTTTCTGAATGAAAAGTCCCGGCTGATAGTGTTGTTTGTATTTGTTCTATTCCCTTTATCCCAGATGACTGTCATGTCTGCCTTGCGCTTGCACCCTTTGCTCCAGTCACTCGGATCAATCACCTCGAAGCCTTGGAGTCAAGAACAATGGAGTCTCGGGATGTAATTGCAGATGCTGTTTATACCACACACTCCATGCATTTGGCATAATCTAGAGAATGCCATCCAAGAAACTGACCAGTTGCCACTGGTCTCGTTTAGGCTGTACAGCCTAAGATTTCCATCGTAATCCAGAGTCAACCTCCTCATGACATGATCGCCAAGATCAGAGTCTTCAAACTTAAATAGGTCACTTGATACAAAACGACCTGTCTGATTTAGAACCCCATATCGGCGACTGTCATAAGTTGTCCTTCCATTCTTCCATGGCAGGTGAACCGAAGGATTTGGCCAATATATGCTGGCAGTGTCAGGGCCATTGTAGACGAGAGTCAAAATATTGTTACTGTCGAAGAGAAAGTTGTAGAAGCCTGAATATAACAAACCCCTGGCAGATGCAGATACCAGCTTTACATTCCTAGTTATTGGTTGCAACGGCAGAAGTGTGTCTGTTGGCGAGTCGAAGCTCCTCCATAGATGCTGGCCTTGTAGGTCCATGACAACAAGGTTTCCATTGTTGAGAAGCTCTGCTCGATTTGCTTGAGTGGCTGTTGTGTTGGTGCTCCATACAACTTTGCCATTGTAGTCAAGAAGGGCCAAGGTCCCGTCGTTCTGGAAGGTGAGCCTGGAGCCCTTGCCATTCACCGGAGCATCGCGGTTCGCCGTCCAAGCGACAGTCTTCTCTGACGACCTGGAAAACCAGATGGAGAAGGTGAAGGCGTTGGTGGCCACCTTGTAGAAGCCACAGGAGAAATCGTCATTGGGGGACACTAGGATGGCGGTGGTGTCATCCTGGGTTGAAATGGATGAACGCCTAGTAAGAAAGCTCTTTTGATCTTTTGCAACAGCAGTGGGGAGCATGAGAAGGAAGGATATCACTGTGGTGAAAATGCAGAAGCCTCTCACGGCGACGGTAAGTATTTTTTTGGTCATCATCCAAGTTGGTGTGTTTTAGAATCAATATGTCATATATTGTAGTGTTCTATCACCCTTGTTGAGTCCTAAGCTTGCAAATGCTGTGGCTGTTTCCTGTTGCAGTTTTGCTACGGCATGCATGAACTTAAACATGAATGATGAAAGCGAGCAAACGGCCAGTCGTTGATTCAGCATGTCCAGGACGGCGTTGCCGAGTACCACATGCCTGCTTGGCTCCGTTGCTGTCTGATTCCCCCAGGTGTCTGGTGACAAACAGAACGTTGTATTGGACAGGGTTATGGCATTCAAACCAGAATATTTGACTGGTAATTTCTATGTAATATGTTAGGAATATTTATAGAACCGTTATACTTATGATAGATAAGTATTATGAAAGTGATGTCTGAGAAATATACTGGGATAATTTCCCTGTACCAAATACGAATGTTTACTCCATTCCATCCGTTTGCAAATACTTCTCAATTTTTACCAAGACTGCATGTTGAGTAACTATAGCCAGGCCAGGGCCACTTCTGTTTGTACAGCACATGATAGCCAAACTAAATCTTTGCAACCCAAATATCAGCAAATTGAACGTATAAACACTGGCTAATTTTGAATCTGGCTGGCGTTACCAAAAAATTTAGCAGGAAAAAAAAATCTGGCCAAAGCTGTCAAAAAAATATATTGGTAGTACTAGCACTAATACACTACCCTCCTTCCCGTTATAAGTGCATTTTTAAAAGCTAGTGAGGAAAATAAGAGGAAGAAAGCTAGTGAGGAAAATAAGAGGAAGAGAAAATTACCAAAGCGTCTCCTATTAAATGAGCAATGGTAGAGAGTGAAAGGACAGTTGAGAGATGATAGGATTGTTCATATTTTGGGACTTACTCCCTCCGTTTCAAAATGTTTGACACCGTTGATTTTTTAATATGTGTTTGACCATTCGTCTTATTCAAAAAAATTAAGTAATTATTTATTATTTTCATATCATTTGATTCATTGTTAAATATACTTTCATGTACACATATAGTTTTACATATTTCATAATTTTTTTAATAAGACGAACGGTCAAATATGTGCTAAAAAGTCAATGGTGTCATGAAACGGAGGGAGTATTTTATGACAGAGATAATGCAAGTTTCTCCTGTAATGGTGTTAAGCCCAAATGGCCCAAGCATTGCAATTAGAAGCAAATGGGCCGGACACAATATACCACTTGGATCAGCCCAGATGATGAGGATGCCTCTCGAACTTCGCCACGGCCCACGGAGCAGCAGCGCTCCCGGCGACGGCGAGGAGCGGCGGCCACCGCCCTCGCGGCGGATTTGGGGTACCCCGCTGCCGCCCTTGCCCATGGCGGCCGCCGTTCCGGTGCCCTGGTCGCCGGAGTCGGAGTTCGACGGCGCGGAGGAGGCGCCGTCCGGAGCTCGATGCCGCAAAGAGAGCCCTCACGCCGCAGCGGCGCTGATAACTGGTAAGAGGGGATTAATCAGCATATGTAGTTACTGGAGGAGTGGGAGGAGGAGTCCGAGGCTGATTTGGAGGTTTGTGTGCAGTGCAGATGATGCCGGAGTGGAAGGATTCGAGATTTGATGAGCGCATCGGAGCAGCGCCAACAATGAGGACCTGGTGGTAGATTCCTTTAAACTATCTTGCGGTTTTTTTTTTCTAGTTCTTTTGGATCATACGGCTTGAGTGGTACTGAATTTTAGGCTCCAATTATATTTGTTTAGTTTGTTCCTGATCCATAAATCAATCGGTAATACTGGAAAGAATTTAGATTCCCAGTTCCCACGTCTTCGCAGTCTTGACAAATGGCAAATAGACATGTTCATTATTAGGCTGAATACATTCAAGTTTTACTATCGTCTACGTTGTTAGACTCAAAGGGTTGGTCCCAAAAAAAATGGATTTCTCTTGTACACTATATAGAACAAGGTTTACATGCATAGTTCAAATGGATGCATCCTTGGAGTGGGATGATGCTAGGATTAGTTATGTTTTTGCTGTTCTGGCTGGTTGTATCTCTGGAATTATATCCTAGCTTGCTTATATTTTCTGTTGTTGAACTGTATTGGTAGCTGGTAACCGATAATGGTTTGTCAGATTTCTATAGAAGCTGGGCCAAGTGGCCTTCTATCTTTAAAAATGGATTCATCCTGTACATAAAGAACAAACTACCCAAACAAGTATACCACTATAACGGTTTATTATGAATGAATACTGGATACTATACTTTAATACTCTTTTGAGGGAATGCGAATACTACCACAGAACTACTCCATGTAAGACAGGCGCTCATTAACTTCTCTCTGCAACAACATACCTTATCATTTTCTCACAATAGATAGAAATGCAGCAATCACAGTAGTGGACATTATTCCACAAGCGAAAGCAGGACTTCAACCACAGTATCCATGCTTGGTCTCATGCGCCTATCTTCTTCCAGACATAACACTGCTATCTTTAGTACTGTGGCCGCCTGTGAATAGTTGAATTCTCCATCCAGCCTGCTGTCAACAAATTCCAGCAGCCATGATTGATCTTCGCTAGCTAGTTTCTCTCTAAGAGTGTCAACATTGCGTTTAACAGCCAGACCTACCTCCTCCTTGCCATCAACCACCCATCTGGAAACCCGACTCCCCTTCACTAACTCAAGAAGTACTACTCCATAGCTGTAAACATCAGCCTTGCCAGTGATTGGAAGATTTAGAGCCCATTCTGGTGCAATATACCCTCTAGTTCCATGCACTCTTGACGGCATTTGTGCTGCTTCTGGCTTAAGTAGTTTCACCAGTCCAAAATCTGCAATCTTTGGCTCAAAGTCTTTATCTAACAATATGTTTTCCGGTTTGATATCGCAGTGCACGATCCATTCAAGACACTCATGGTGAAGATATGCCAGTCCTTTTGCCACTCCAAGTGCAATATTGTACCTTTGGCTCCATTTTAGGACAGGAAATAAGTTGTGGTAGTCAAACAGAAGTCTGTCTAAAGAACCGTTCTCACTGTACTCAGAAACCAAGAGCCTCTTTGTCTTCTCCACACAAAACCCCCAAATTCTAACCAGATTCATATGATATATTCTTCCTATGACACTTAGCTCAGACCTTAACTCCTGCTCTCCATAGATCACATCATTTAAAATTTTCACTGCAACCTTCCTTTCATCATCGAGGACTCCCTTGTAAACCACACCCGATCCACCACTTCCCAGCTCTTCCTGAAAACAATTGGTTGCCTTTTGTAACTCCTTGTAGCTGAATCTTCGGAACTGACTAGAAATGATTGCGTAACCTTCATCGGTAATCTCAGGCCTTGTCTCCCATTTTCTAACAACTGAAAACCCAACAATGATTAAAACCACTTCAATCAAAAGCAACGTTAACACAGAAGAAAGGAAGTAACCAAACTCGAAATTGGAAGTGACTTCCTCAAACATTTGTGATGAAGGGTAGGCTAACTTTTCTGTAACTCCACAAGAATGGGTTGGTCTAGAATCTGATTCTTCGCGAAACGGCACCCCCTTGGGAACTTTCAGATAGAGGTCATTGTAAGGATCTGGGAAGCGCCAGCCATTGAAAAGAGAGTACTTTGGATAAGATTCACCAGTTCCCTTCCGGTAGCCGAAGGCTTGACAGTTATTGGCGGTGAGGCACATATTTCTACAGTTTGAGTATGGTATTAACTGTGTGTAGGCGGTGTCATACCCCCAGAAGTCAGTTGCAGTGATCTTTCTGATTGAGAAGTCCTGGCTGGTAGAGTTGTTTGTAATATTATGTCTATTCCCTTTATCCCAGATTGCTGTTATGTCCACCTTGCGCTTGCATCCTTTGCTCCAGTCAGTCGGATCAATCACCTCGAAGCCTTGGAGGCAAGAACAATGGAGTTCCGGGATGTAATTGCAGACAGCGTTTGTGCCACACACTCCATGCATTTGACATACTCTAGAGAATGCCATCCAAGAAACTGACCAGTTGCCACTGGTCTCGTTTAGGCTGTACAGCCTAAGATTTCCATCGTAATCCAGTGTCAACCTCCTCATGACATGATCGCCAAGATCAGAGGCTTCAAACTTAAAAAGGTCACTTGATACAAAATAACCTGTCTGATTTAGAACACCATATCGAAGACTGTCATAAGTTGTCCTTCCATTCTTCCATGGCTGGTCAAAGGAAGGATTTGGCCAATATATGCTGGCAGTGTCTGGGCCGTTGTAGACGAGAGTCAAAATATTGTTACTGTCGAAGAGAAAGTTGTAGAAGCCTGAATATAGCAGCCCCCTGGCAGATGCATATACCAGCTTTACATTCCTAGTTATTGGCTGCAACGGCAGAAGTGTATCTGTTGGCGAGTCGAAGCTCCTCCATAGATGCTGGCCTTCAGGATCCATGACAACAAGGTTTCCATTGTTGAGAAGCTCTGCTCGGTCGGCTCGAGTGGCTGTTGTGTTGGTGCTCCATACAACTTTGCCATTGTAGTCAAGAAGGGCCAAGGTGCCGTCCTTCTGGAAGGTGAGCCTGGAACCCTTTCCGTTCACCGGAGCATCGCGGTTCGCCGTCCAAGCGACCGTCTTCTCCGACGACCTGGAGAACCAGATGGAGAAGGTGAATGCGTTGGTGGCCACCCTGTAGAATCCGCAGGAGAAGTCGCCATTGGGGGACACTAGGATGGTGGTGGTGTCATCCTGGGTTGAAATGGATGAACGTCTAGCAATGAAGGCTTGGGTTGAAATGGATGAACGTCTAGCAAGGAAGGGTTTTCTATGATTTGCAAGAGCAATTGTTGGCATGAGAAGGAAGAATATTGTGGTGAAAATGTAGACGCCTCTCATGGCTATGACAACATAGAAAGCAATTGCCTATGATCATCTAACGCAAATGGGAACCAATGTGCTGTAGTCCATTATATATCTAGTTTCCAGTTGGGTCAAAAATAAAAGGCTCGCGAGCAAATTCGGTCAGCTTCACGACAACTTTGACGGGGCTCGTGTTACAACTTGATTGGGCTCGTGTTTGCTGTATAGTTCCTCCCTTTTTTTTTCTGGCTAGTTGCTACATATGATATACTTGATGTACTAGCTTAGGGAAAGGGACCTAAAATTAAGCCAACCCTTTGTTTCGTCGAGCATAGCAAATGTTAGGGCATACACATGAATTTCACAGGATTTTCATAGTTTATTTCATCAAAATTCACGTGAAATTCCTCAATTCCAAAGGATGCCTTTGCAGCCAAAATAGTATCAGTCGTTAGGTCTTGTTCTTTTCGGCTTATTGATTGTGGATTATTTGGTGGTACACTTCCTAAGTTTCTAAACTTTCTTCATCGGTATTTCTTAGAAAGCTTTTTTATAACAATTTTTTGAACTTCATAACATTTAATTCATTCGTATATGTATTTAAATAATTGTTGTAAACTCAGAATCAGCCATCAACTGATTCAAGCGGGACCTCAAATCCGATCAATCTTCGTTTACGAAGAACAACGAGTTAGGTACTTGCTAGTGGCTATTACTTTGCCGCCCTACCATTTCTTTGTTGCTTCACTTATCACTTTCCATGGCCACGTGCCCACATCGTTGACAAGAAGTCAACAAGGACCGGGTGGCCATCAGGCAATAGTAGTAGCAATCCTTTTCTCTCCACGCTAAAATTAAAAGTTTAAAGAAATTAAAATGATGTGACAGAAAAGTTGAAAGTTTACTTGTGTAGGAAAGTTCGATGTGACGAAAAAGTTGAAAGTTTAAAGAAAAAAAGTTGGAACCTAAACAGTACCCAAATGAGAAATCCCCATTGGGTGTAACACTATGGCCATGTTTAGGGAGGAAAGATTTGGAGATGCAGCTGGTCTCACTAGCTCGTGAGAATATGAAAAACTAGGTATTCAGTTTCTCGTTTTTAATTAAATTTTTAGATTTTATAATTATAGATTCTCAAGATCTGAATGATAATCTAAACTATAAATTCTGGGAGAAGCCACTTCAGAAGCTCCCCAAACATCTGACATCAACGGTGCCACCCTGAGATGCTGGGACCTTTGGCAATATATTTTTTTTAATATATTGCAGCAGGCAGCAGGCAGCAGCAGTAGGGAGCATGAGAAGGAGATAACCGTAGCGAAAATGCAGAAGCGTCTAATGGCGACGGTAAGTGTTTGGTCATCATCCACATCAATGCAGGAATATACTCGTACTGATTAGTGTTGTGGAGCCAGAAGCCTGCAAAGGCGCTTCCATCATTTACCCTTTACCCTTTAGCTTATAAACTATATTTAAAATTAAAATTTTAAAAATTAATTTTAAGTTGATTTTAGAGCTTTTTTCTGTCATTGTTTATTTTTCCAGCATTTATTTTTATATTTTTAAGAGCACATATAAAAAATATTTATTTATAAATTATATTCTTTTATTGATAAAACATTGCTGCTTATAATCACCGTAAGCAAAACGACGACCGCTGTCGTGGCGGCTCTTTGCTGTAGACTTGCAGTGCATGATAGGACATGCACGAAGTAGACATGAATGATGGAAGGGACCACATGCCAAACGGCCAATATTTGAGAAACACATTACAAGTGTAGGCGTCCACAGCCGCGTACACTCGTATGCACATCCTACCTAAGCCGGTATATTTTAATATTGGTAAAGTACCACAAACACCTCGCTGGCGACGTACTACTTAAAAAAAATAATTTAAACTCGAAACCTATCGAGTAAATTAGCTGCGCCCAAACGGCCAATCTTCGATTCCGCATGTTTCAGAACGGCGCTGCCGAGTACTGCAGCTGACAACAATTCGCTAGTGTCCTTTTACTGTTCTCATGCGCTTTGTTTTAATTAATTTGTTGTTGAAGTTGTAACTAACTAACTAACGGTGCCCGTTCGGCGGCCGTCTCACTGATGTTTTGTTTTCTTTTTGCTAAATCCAAAGGTCTCCCATCTAAATGAAACTTTCCAGCGGCGGCAGGCGGCTACCTTGTTAGTTTTTCTAATAATAAGGTCATACTCCTTCCGTCCCTAAATATTTAACGCTATTGACTTTTTTAAACATGTTTGACCATTCGTCTTATTCAAAAACTTCTATGAAATACGTAAAACTATATATGTATACATAAAAATATATTTAACAATGAATCAAATGATAGAAAAAGAATTAATAATTACTTAAATTTTTTAAATAAGACGAACGGTCAAACATATTTAAAAAAGTCAACGGCGTCAAACATTTAGGGACGGATGGAGTATTTTTTTTTTCATGAATTTTTCGGCACGTTTCACCCTTGGATGGATATTGCTTTGCAGCCGCCTGTTTCTGGGCCGCAGCGCACACCGGAAGAGAATAATGTAATGGGGATGGTCGAGTTGGCAGCTAAATACAAATACTAATCTTTCAGCTGGGGTTCGAACCTGCAACTTGCTTGATTTTCGTTAGCATACCATTTTATAAAAACCAATTTCTAGATAGTTTTTTAAATCAAATAAATGTATTTTTTAATTTATAATACTTAATACTTAATTATTTATAATTATTTATGTACCAATGAGTCATTTCATTTTACTAGTCGCTAGACGCTGAGTAAAGGTCAGGTCCAACGGAGCCTAAGATTAGGTAAGTCCAAATGTTTTTAAGTATCATGGCATGGTTGAGGATGAGGTTTATATTATCGTTAATCACCTTGCCTACTAAGATATTCCTATTCTCTCTCCGTCTCAAAATAGGTTAATATAGTACATGATATAATATATTCTAGTAATATGAATATGAACATATGTTATCTATCCCTTCATCTCATAAAAAACCCAATCATCAGGATTGGCTTCTTTTTTTTTTGACATAGTAGTATGTTCATATTATTAGGATATGCCACGTCCCTATCAAATTATTTTTTTATCAGTTTAATTTATTTTGTGACGGAGGGAGTACATGATAAAAGTGATAGTATCTCTTGTATGAAGAGTTCACGGACAAGTGAGTCATGTAGTTTTTTTTCCACTCAACATGGGTACACCATATCAATGCGCCTTGTAGGATAAAGAAGGTGACATATTGTCTTTGGGGTTGTAGGTACTTTTCAGGATAATATATTAGTTTTAGGGTTGGGCCTAACTATAAAGACATGATGATGATATCAATCTAATAAATGATGCATGTCATAAACTTGAGTCGATAATTATGTACCTTTTTGCCAACTTCGAATGGAGATTCTTGAATGGAATTCAGTAATTGAGGGTTCTTTTATCTTATGTTGGTGTCTTTTAGTTTGTGTGTTCTTTACATTATTATGTCAGAAGTGTGGACTTTGTAATAATTGGTTATAACTTGTTGAGCAAAGACTGAAATGTTATTCAATTAAAAAGATAAAAAAAAAGGTGACATGCGCCATGTAGGGATAAAAGTAGGCTGTACGATGCAAACCCTCTAAGGAGATAATCGACTTGCTCTTTAGGAGTGAATAGATTGAAAAGATTATCATTTTTCACACGCACACTTTCCGAAGTACTAAACGGTGTATGTTACGAAAATTTTCTATAGAAAAGTTGCTTTTAAAAGATATTAACTTAATTTTTAATACTTAATTAATCATACGCTAATGACTCGTCTATTTTACGTATACATTTCAAGACACATCCTCAAAGGTTTTGATTATTTAGGGAGGTGCCATGCGTGTTGTTGTAGTTGAGGGAGCAAAGGACTCAGCCGATACTTGAGGGAGGAAGCATAGACATCTTCCCCCAAAGAATATTGGCACATGCTTCTGTTTCAATGGGCTTCAAGCCTAATAGACTCCAAATGGTCCAGACATAATCCCTCACTTGGATCAGCCCATTGCCCCACTCTCCCCGTACTGCCGCCGCAACGAGAGCACCGTCAACCACAGCAGCAGCTCATGGCGCCGCCGCTCCCGGGGCCGGTGGTGCCCGGGGGTCGCCGGAGGCGGAGCCGAACGCCCGCGCGCAAGGCTATGTGCCGCGACGGCCGGTGAGCGCGCTGCCCGTATCTTGCTGCCCGGTGGGGGCGGCACGGCTCGGCGTGGAGAGCCCTTTGCAATGGTAAGAGGGGATTTTACTACTACGCATTTGCTCAGGTGGGGGGAGGGGGCCGAGGTTGATTTCGGGGGGGTTTGTGCGCAGGTGATGCCGGAGCGGAAGGATTATTCGAGATTGATGCGTGGGCATTGGCTGGCGTCGCCGCGCGCATAATAAATGGTGTGTGATTGATTCCTAAACTATTGCTGTCAGTTTTTTTAGTTCATTTGGATCATACAGCTTGCATGATACTGAATAGTTGGCGGCTCCAGTTTAATTGTTTTATTTGTCCCTGCTCCATAAATCTAGTCTAGGTAGTAATAGTGAAAAAGGAATTAGAATTTCATTTCCCACGTCTTGGTAGTCTTGACAGCTACTACGACATGTTTGTCTACTTTGTTAGACTTAGACGCACTCATCTGTCGAATAATGTAATGGTATACACTGAATATTTAGTGGAAATCGATGCATCTCATACATATAGATCAAAATATCCAAAGTTTCAGACAAGTACACTTATGATGAATATTACTACTCCCTCCGTTTCACAATGTAAGTCATTGTAGCATTTTCCACATTCATATTGATATTAATGAATCTAGACATATATATCTATCTAGATTCATTAACATCAATATGAATATGAGAAATGCTATAATGACTTACATTGTGAAACGGAGGAAGTACTATACTCTTTTGAGGGAACCTGAACTGTACTACTCTATGTAATACGGAGTAAGTATTAAGATGATATGTGTTCATGTGTCTGTAGACATTTTTTACATAAAAATATCCGCCCAGTATCTTCTCTCTGCAACTACATACGTTATTATTTTTCTCATATTACACATATCAGCAATAGCCGTACTGACCATTATTCCATAAGTGAAAGTAGGATTTCGACCACACTGTTCATGCTTGGTCTTTTGCGCCTATCTTCATCCAGACATGACACTGCTGTATTTAGCACTAAGGCTGCCTGTGAATAATTGAATTCTCCATTCAGCCTGCAGTCAACAAAATCCAGCAGCCATGATTGATCCCCACTAGCTAATTTCTCTTTGAGAATATCAACAGTTCGTTTAACAGCCAGTTCCACCTCCTCCTCACCATCAACCACCCATCTAGAAACCCTATTCCCTTTCACTAACTCAAGAAGCACTACTCCATAGCTGTAAACATCAGCCTTGCCTGTGATCGGAAGATTTAGAGCCCACTCTGGCGCAATGTACCCTCTTGTCCCATGCACTCGTGATAGGATATTTGTGCTTGGTCCTCGATTCAGTAATTTCACCAATCCAAAATCCGCAATCTTTGGCTCAAAATCTTTATCTAACAATATGTTCTCTGGTTTAACATCGCAATGCACGATCCATTCCAGACATTCATGGTGTAGATAAGCCAATCCTTTTGCTACCCCAAGTGCGATATTGTACCTTTGGCTCCACGGTAGCACAGGAAACACGCTCTGATGGTTGGATAAAACTCTGTCTAAAGAGCCATTCTCAACAAACTCAGAAACCAAGAGCTTGTGCGTCTTTTCGGCACAAAACCCCCAAATTCTGACAAGGTTCATATGATAAACTCGTCCTATGATACTCAGCTCTGACCTGAACTCCTGTTCTCCGTGGATCACATCATTTAGTTTCTTCACCGCGACCTTCCTATTATCATCGAGGATTCCCTTGTAAACTGCTCCTGATCCTCCACTTCCTAGTTCTTCTTGAAAAAATCCGGTTGCCTTCTCTAACTCCTTGTAACTGAACCTTCGGAATTGACTGGAAATTATGGTGCAGCCTTCGTCTCGAATCTCTGGTCTTCTTCCCCATTTGTATGTAGCCCAACATCCAACTGTAACTAAAATCACTTCAACTACAAGCAATGTCAATGCTGAAGAAAGGAAGTATCCAAACTTGAATTTCGAATTGCTACCCTCGAACATTTGCGATGAAGGATAGGCGTCTTTTTCTGTTACCTTGCAGATATGGGATGGTTTAGAAGCCAATAGTTGTGAAGACGACGCCTCCTTGGAAAATTTTAGATAAATATCATTGCTAGGATCTGGGAATTTCTTGCCATTGATAAGCAAAGCCTTCGGGAAACATTCACCTTTTCCCTTCCGATATGCAAAAGCTTGTCACTAGCTAAGAACATGCCTTCCTGATTGAGAATCCCATATTGGCTGCTGTTATAAGTAGTCCTACCATTCTCCCACGACCGCTCATAAGGATTAGGCCAATATATGCTGCTAGTCTTAGGGCCATTGTATATGATACTCAATATGTTGTTACTGTCAAAGAAGAAGGTGTACAAGCCTGAGTAAGGCAAGCCCCTGGCAGATGCAGATACCAGCTTTGTATCTCGAGTCATCGGCTGCAATGGGAGGAGCGTGTCGGTCGGTGAATCGAAGCTCTTCCAGAGGCGATGACCGGCTG